GTGTGGAAATAATCCTCCTGCCCTCACCACTACCCCCCCATTGGTATTTATAATTACATATGAACCCACATTAAAGTTGATTTTATTTACCATCATCTTTAATTATAGAGAGAAAACACAGTTGTGTTCAGTCATGCCTCAAATCATGTCACACTGACTAGGGCTCTCTTTCCTAACTATTCTCTCCCAAAATGCCAATGAAAAAATGACAAAATTAACAGTTGCTCATTTTAATATGTTAAGAATTCAGAGTTTATATTACACAAATGAATATATTGTTCTTCACTGGTTGACTTTTTCATACCAATTTGCTCAGAAATGAAAACCAGGTTGCTAATCTTGTCAACATGGTCACGGAACGAGGTTTCAGAAGACCCTGGGTTCTCATTGCATCCCTTTCACATCCTAGGCCTGCGAGCTGGGAATCTGTCCTTACATCTGGCTGTGTCTCAATCTTCCACCATATTAGGAGTAATATTTGCTCCTGTGTCTGTAGTACAGGTGTTCGTGAGAATCTAAGCAAGTGTTACAGTATTTTGAAAACTACAAGGCTGTGTACAAATGTAAGGTAGTACTAATTCCTTCATTTTGCAAATAAGTACTCCTATTACCTAAGAGTACATACATGAAAAAAAGCATGGCTTCTATGCTCAGCACAGTCCAGTGGGAAGCCTGACGTGCAGAGTGCTGCAGTAGGTGCCGTAAGGGAGACTTATACACCGAGACCCTAAGGGAAAGTACCCCTGACTGTCTGGGAGGACCAGGGAAGGCCTCAGAGGAGATGGTGTGAACTGAGACTTGAGAATGAGAAATCATTTGCTCGATGAACTAAATGGGGAAGAGAATTCCAGGCAGAGGGAAAGCATGTTTGAAACCCTGAAATATTTTACTCTCTCTGGAATTAGAAGTACAATGGAAGGAGGTAAAGACAGACAAATCAGACAAATAGACAAGGGACAGATTATAGAGAGCCTTTGATTACCATGCTAAGGAGTTTAGATTATGTATAGGAGGAAAGATATATAAAGCCACTGAGGAATTTTGAGCAGAACTGTGATCAGGTTTCTTCAATGTACAATAGATGATTGGCATGGGCCAGAGAGCAAGCAATGGAGAGAATGAGGCCCTTGTGATTATATAGGAGAGAAAGTGAAAAGGGGAGGGGAAAACTGCAAGGTTTTATGCCTGAGTAACTGACAATATTTTTAAAAATAAAAAAGTCTTAAAGGGATTTGGTTTTAAGGAAAGCTTCAACTTCAAACAGCGTCATTTGGCAGGTCATGTGGGGGTAGAAGGATCCAACAGGCAGTCAGAGAAGCAAAAGGAGATCTCGATGTCACTGTGTCACTATGGGAGCCATTCACATTGAAGTGAGAGCTGAAGCGAGGAGACTAGATGAGAGCTACCTAAGCGAGAAAACTAAGTGGGGGATAAAGCAAAGAAGTTACATCACTGAAGGAAACTGGAAGAAAAGTACCAGGATGGCGTCACAGATGTCAAGAGAAGAGACACTTTCAAGGTCAATAAGACCTAATGCTGAAGAGAGAAAATAAAAAGAAAGAAACAAGATCAAAGGCTAAAGGAAAACCAATGAAACTACTGGTGACCTTAGAGAATAGTGAGACTGGGAGTCAAAAGGAGGTGAGTTCAGGAGTGAGAAAATGATAAGAAAAATAGAAATAAACATTCGGACTATAGGCTAGCCAGTGGCAACATATTTTATCATAATATTATAGTAAGGTACAAATGGAAATGCCAGCATATAATGTAAATTGCTATTACCCTTTGTGTCCTGAATACCATAAGCTTTGAGTCCAATAAACTGATCAGGAATCATTCTTTTTTTTTTATATTTTATTGGGGAATTGGGGGAGGGGAGCAGTGTTGGGGAACTGAGGAAGGGGAACAGACAAGTTGCTGTCCTTTTGTTCTTCAGTCTAGTTGTGGAGCATGTAGCTTCACTGGCCCATGTTGGTATTATCATTGCACTCTTCCCGGGTGAGGCAGTCGCTTGCCAGCTGTTGGATGGCCGCTCACAGCTGCTCACAGCGGCATACGAAAGCACACGCCAGCCACCGGCCAGCCCCACTGCAGCCTATGCCATGGCTGGCGACTCACGGCAGCCCAGTTCCAGGTCAAGCTGTTGTTCACCATCTTATCTGTAGAGGGCGCAGCATCACTGGCCCTCATGTGGGATCCGAACTGGGGTGCTGCTGCTCAGAGCTGGCATCCCAAGCCAACTCTTAACCAACGTGCCACTCGGCCGGCCCGAAATCATTCTTTTATTAATAATGTAATTTGTACCCAAAAAGAAATGAACTACAGTTGTCACCTGCATTTTTTCCTTGGCCTGCATTGCTTGCTGTGACTCCTGAGTGCCTAATCAACAACAACAAAAGCAAGCACTGTTTTCTATGACTAGCTGAAATGTACACTAGAGAAATGCAAACCTCTTACTGGGATTTCTTAGTTATAGTAGTAAAATGAAAGCACTGGGGCAAAGTCAGTTCTGCGTCTAACTGAAAATTCATTTCTTTGTCAGACGTGAGCTTTTTTCCTTAGTAGGCATGGTTTGTCACTAATGGCCTGAAGCATGGGTAGTGAATCAGAGGCCTGTATTCAGGAGTTCTAGTCACTATGCCCAGCTGTGGATGAGTCACTAAAAGTAATAATTCTTACACCAGGGAGACCACAATAATAACTGGATAGAATGTTGAGAACTTGAGATAAGGCACTTTGTAAATGCTTCTCCTTCTAACTTACCTTTGCTCTGTTAAAATAGCCTACCAACTAAATTGGGTTTTCAAGGGATAAATGAAAGGACAGTAGCAATTTCCAGATTTTGTGAGTGTGAAACTACCCTAGGCACGTGCCTTCAGCTGATAGTGATGGTTCTGTGCAGGCTACACTTGTCTGAGACATTCTCTCAATTGCATAACTTCCTTTCCATTATGGTTAATCTTATCCAATCAAATAAGGTGGCGTGGTATCCACTAGAATTCGGGAATTCTGTGACACTCAAGGTTAGAACATGGTAGAATTTCATTTTAAAGTCTTATTGGAATGAAATCTCTGTGAGGTGATTCCTGTAAAGATGAGAGCTCTTCCATCTCCTGTTCTCCAGGTTCTTTACTGAAGCTTAAAAAAATTTTTTTAAAGAAATAATGTGTTTGTATTTTAGGCTTCGGTGTGCAGTATCTTCAAATGTTAAACCTGGCAGAGTAGCCAGTGTTACATCTGAGAGAAAATCGTCCGGTAGACATTTGGGCCTCCTTTCAGGGAATTGCCACCAACAAGACTTCACTTGCTACTTTTTCCTTCTGTTGGATTAATTTATTAGGTTTGAAACTGAGATTATGGTTTCATTTCCCTTTTCTACGACACTCCAAATGAAAGAAATAGAAGAGCTGTGTTACCAGTGGCATAAAGAACTCTGCTAACCACTAACCAGTGGGGAGTAAAGGGACAATTCCTACAGGCTAGAGCCAGTGTGCTGAGAAGGTGCATACCAAAGGTGTCCTGTCTTTAATTCCCAGTTTTCTCTTGCTTCCAAATAACTTTACTGAGAATTTTTATATACAATACACTGTGTTAGGCACTCTGGAGAATATAAATAACTTGGAATTTCTGTCACAAATGTAAACAGAAATACAACCCTAGATATACACATATCTTACACACACACACACACACACACACACACACACACACACACTGCCCAAAAAATGTATACACGTTTTAAGAAAGGAAAAAACTATTAGAATTGTAATACTCAATATATACCGTTAACAAAAGATGAATAAAAGTCATGTTTGACTTCTGCAGTTACAAGAGGTGCTCAAAGTGGTTACTGTCAACATCCAGACTCTTCTGAATATGGCGAACTACTGCTTGAGCAACGTTGACCAAAGTGTCCACTTGCATACATTTGTTTGGCACCCCCAAAAAAATTGATATATATACATACATCAATCACACTTAACGTAGTGTATCATTAGTATGCTTTGAGCTGGAAGAAACAAAATTCCAACTCAAATGGATTAAATAATAAAGAAATTTATTAATATAACAAGAGGTCTAAAATTAGGACAGCTTCTAATGCTGTACCGTCAGGGCTCAGGCTCTATTTTGATGCTATTCTCTTAACTTTGCCCTTCTGCTGGCTTTGTCTTAGGCCAGTTGCCCATGTGATTACAAGAGGGCCACAGTAGTTCTGGGCATGATGGGCAGATAAGAACATGCAGAGGCAGAGGCTTTCTCTTTCATAACTGACTGGGGATCTGTTAACAAAGAGATGGTGGGGAATGGACACCATCAGGAAACCTACAGACTAGTGGAGGAGAGAGCGTGTGGTAGTGTGCTAGGTACCGTACTAAAGGTCCATACATCTGTAGTGGTCACACCAGAGAGAAAGTGCTTCCTTTTCTCCACTGGAGTGAAAGGGTAGCTGCTGATCAGAGAAGACTTCACATGGGGAAGAGGGTGTTAATCCCATTTGGGACACATTGAGTTTGAGGTATTGTGAGACTTCCAGGTGGAGAAATCCAATAGATAGTTGGATGTATGTTGATCTTAGGCTAAGAAATCTAACTAGAGAAAAAGACATAGGAATTAAGTGGTGGTGAAGGCTCTGAGGATGGATGAGCTATCCAGAGGACAGATTAGGACCAAAAATGAGACCCTAAGGAACACTGACATTTAAAGCATGGGTGAAGTAAGAGGAGTTGACAGGGACAGAAAATAAAAATCTTTTAATACCATCTGTGTGGGGGATGGATGTAAGCCAACTAGAAATGACATTCTGTGATATTCACACATGTGATTTGGGTAAAGGACTGGTAAAAGCTAGAAACCTTTTAATACCCATTATTTGCCTAGTGGCCACTGTCCTTCCCTAAGAAACTGAATGAGACAAAGTTATAGCCAGACCTGAACAGTGCCCCGCCCAAAGCGGAATCGGGGCATTAAAATTTCTAAAATGAATCTCTTTTTCTTTGCAGGAGTGGTCACACATTACTTGCCTTCTGGTTTTCCCGCCAAGAGGGAAAACTAAACCGACAGCAGACTATTGAGCTGGGACATCACATCCTCAAAGCACACATCTTTAAGGTAATTAGAGAAGTTGGAGGCTTTTTTCTTTCCATCTCCTCCAGCAGGGTTTCCTTAGCACTGTGTTTATGAAGCTACTGTTACTCCAGTGTAGTCCTTGCTTTCAGAAATTGTTCTCTTGCAAAGTTGGTCCATCTCCTAAAATGTATGGCCTGTTCCTCCCTAGGCCTTTGGAACGAAAACCACATTTGTCATCTCCCAGTTTAGCAGATTGCTAGGCTTTCCGGGAAATGTATGTGTATCATCATTTAGATGAGAAGCATATATCCATATACGTGTGTATTCCATATATGACCTACAGTCTCTTAAAGACAGTCATGTTGTAGCAGTTAGTTGCAGGTTTTCACAATGTCTAAAAACATCACTGAGAACAGTTACTCTTTCAGTTTTCTTATAATTGTTTTGGTGACAATTTTAATATTTGTGGTGCTGTAATTTCAGACTCTCTGAAACCAACAATAACCTTCCTTTGAGCTACTTCCCCCATTGTGTCTTCAAATTATAGTCCCAGTTTTTTTCCCCATACTTTCAAAACTTTTAAGAACTATAGCATCAGCTGCCCTCTCTCAACATTCTCAAGGCTGGAGCGCAGGGCCCAGAGGAGGGCACACCATCCACTGGTTGGGCATGGATGCCTGCATTTGTTTCTTCAGCACTTAACTGAGGCATTTTCCTAGGTGTTATTAGAGATACAAAAACAAAAAGAATACAGCCCAGTATCTCAAGGAATGTATCCTGTTAATAGCAGTGTGCAGGGAAGTGCACAGGTCCAGGAGGAAGTATGTTCGGATTTTTCTAGCCCATAGTTTGCCAGAAGTCTGCGCCTTCCAATCCCTGCAGTCTTTTTTAGACTGCTTTTCCTGCATCAGGATTGAGAAATTCAGGTCTCTTAAACAGTTCTCTGGGTTGGATTTCCCCCGGGAGATACTGTTAAAGATAAAACAGTTCTCTTCAGAGAGAAAGATGGCATTAAGGGCAACTCCAAGCGCCTAGCAAGCTCTTCCCAGTATATAATCACACAGCCAGAGCAGCCTGCTCATCAGATGGACACCGGTGAAACGCACAGTGACAGGTCCTGTATTTGACTTGTAATTGTCTTATCTAACAAATCACTGTACCAAAGCATGACCTTACCCAGTGACCTCACTCAGTTGGAGCAGAGTGAGACTAAAATAACAGGCAAGGTGGCTCATTCCAATTTCAAGTGGACCAAAAAGCATCTGCTACTTCTGTAAATTCTGAGATCATTACCCTTCCGTTAGATAGGAAAGTAACTTCACTTTTGAGCATCACCACTTTAAACACGTAAGCTTAGCATCTGCCTAGAATCAGATGCAAAGTTTATGCCTGTCTTTTCTGCACCATAAAACAAATACCACATTAACAGATAAACGACACAAAGTTTTGTTTGACCCAGTGGGACTTTATGCAATACATGGAGACCTACATTTAAACCGTACACTCCTGTCATTGACACAGTTTTATCTTACATTGCTACAGACAACATGGTTGCCTGAGATAAGAGTGGCTCCCTGTGTGATTCAGAACATAAATACTCGGTGTACAGCGTTTGGCGATGACGTGACTGTGAGCTGAAGAATGTGGACTTGGACTGTGGTTTTCCTGATGCTGCACTTTCAGGGTCATTTAAATGCAGAGAGTGCCTTGTTGATAGGGCTTTAGCTTCGCCCAGATGGCCAGAATTCTCAGTCCCCATCAGCTGAAGGTCATGGAAAGGCATGCTTATAACAGTACCACTCAGAGCTTCTAATCAGCAGTGACACGTAGTCCAATTTCTATTTCTTTCCAATTAATTTTAAATTTCCTTTATTTTATCTTTGTTCATGAAAAATTACATACAGTGTCATTAATCACCTTAAAAATATGAGATTCTGTACACCTGAAACTAACAATAAAAAAAAATTTTTTTTTAAACAAAAAAAAAAATGAGATTGAGGGTCTGTAATACTGGGTATCAGGTTGACTACAGAGCTAATTTCATTCTGTTTTTAACAGCTTTATTGAAATACAAACTTGTATATCATAAATTTCACCCATTGTAAGTACACAACTCAATGACTTTTAATATATTTACAGAGGTGTGTAACTATCACCACTATTAGTACATTTCCATCACCCTACAAATAAACTTTGTGCCTATTTGAAGCCACTCCCCTGCTTCCCCCAGCTTCTGGCAAGCACTAATCTACTTTCTGTCTCTATAGATTTGATTTTTCATATAAATAGAATCATACAATGTGTGGTCTTCTTTGTCTGATTTCTTTCACTCAGCATCATGTTTTCAGGGCTCGCCCATGTTGTGGCACATATACTTGGATTCCTTCTTATTGCCAAATAATATTTCCATTTCATAAATATGAGGTCTGACAGTTAAGTTCGCCAACTTGTTGCAACGATGTTGCTAACCTTTTTTGATATCAGAAGGATTATTCATTATGAATTTGTACCAATTGGACAAACAGTTAACCAACTTTACTATTTGGAAGTGCTGAAAAGGCTGCATAAAAGTTAGACGACCTGAACTTTTCACCAACAATTCATGGCTCTTGCATCACGACAGTGCACCAGCTCACACGGCCCTGTCTGTGAGGGAGTTTTTAGCCAGTAAACAAATAACTGTATTGGAACACCCTCCTGACTCATCTGGCCCCCAATGACTTTTTTTTTTACCCGAAGATAAAGGAAATATTGAAAGGAAGACATTTTTATGACATTCAAGACATCAAGGGTAATATGACGACAGCTCTTACGGCCATTCCAGAAAAAGAGTTCCGAAATTGCTTTGAAGGGTGGACTAGACACTGGTGTCAGTGCATAGCTTGCCAAGGGGAGCACTTCAAAGTTGACCATAGTGATATTCAGTAATGAGGTATGTTGCACTTTTTCTAGGATGAGTTCGCGAACTTAATTGTCCAACCTCGTATACCACATTTTGTTTATCCATTCATTATTTGGACATTTGGGTTGTTTTCACTTTTTGGCTGTTGTGAATAATGCTGCTATGAGCATTAACATAAAGATTTTTCCCTTTTAAATTAAAAATAAAATAAAATTAGCCATTTTAAGTGAACAACTCAATGATATTTACTATATTTACAGTATTAATGTTTAGGGTTTTGTGTGGACATGTCTCAGTTCTCTCGGATATATAGCTAGGAATGGAATTGCTAGACATTAAGTAACTGTGTTTAACATTTTGAGGAATTGCCAGTCCGTTTTCCAAAGTGGCTTTACCATTTCACAATTTCACCAGCAATGTATGAGGATTCCAGTTTTTTTCAAACCCTTGCCAATACTTGTCAGACATTGTGTGTCTTATTTTAGCCATTTTAGTGGGTGAAAGTAGTTTCTCATTGTGGTTTTTTTTGTTTGTTTTTAAGATTTTTATTGGGGAATTGGGGTATGGGAACAGCGCTGGGGAATTGAGGGAAGGGGAACAGACAAGTTGCTGTCCTTCAGTCTACTTGTAGAGGACGTTGCTTCACTGGCCCAAGCTGGCACCATCATTGCGCTCTTCCTGGACGAGGCAGATCAGTCGCCGGCTTCTAGACGGCCACTCACTGCGGCTGCTGCCCACTCACGCTGGCTGCTGGCTACATACGGTAGCCCATGGCAACCCACTGCCGCAGAGGCTGCAGCCTACACCGTCGCCGGCGACTCATGGCAGCCCAGCTCCAGGTTGAGCTGTCGTTCAGCATCTTAGCTGTGGAGGGCAGTGTCACTGGCCCTCATATGTGGGATCCAAACCGGGCCCCTCTGGCATCCCAAGCCAGCTCTTAACCAATGCGCCACTCGGCCGGCCCTCTCATTGTGGTTTTAATTTGTATTTCCTTAGTGACCAATAATGTTGAACACTTATAATTCTTTTGTAATCCTCTAATTGCCATTTAGATCTTTTCTAGGCTATGAAAAGAAAGCAGAATGTTTGTGAATTGTGGCCAGAGAAATTTCAATCGAGTTTGTAATGCAGGGTGTTTCACTGGATTGGGTCTAGTCCCTGAAGGATTTTGGAGTGCTCTACAATTAACTTCCTAAATGCTGCCCTCCAAAATGTTCCTTTGATTGGTCAATCCTATAACATTTCTTACCAGAACAGAACTATTGGACTGAGGGGGAAAGTACTATAAATAGACACCTGGAGCGTAGAAGGTCCTTTGACAGCAATCAGAAAGCATAGCTTCAAGTAGTCTGAAGTTTTCTAATCTGTGAAATGGGAACAATATCTAACTCTCAGGATTGTTTTAAGGATCTTAGATATATTATGTACATTATAAAATGCAAAATACAAGGCATATATCCAATATAAGTTTTAGGATTAAATTTTAGTAAAGATATCTTTCCTGATAATAAGACTTAATAACAAGCATAATTTTTAGATGGTAATTTCACCCTTTCACTTCAGAGGTTACTTAGTTTAGCATTCCCTATAGCAGTGATCAGGAAATAGGGTTTTATAGTCCATATAGTCTCTGTCGAAACCACTTAACTCTGCCATTGTAGCTCAAAAGCAGCCAGAGACAATACAGAAATGAATAAGTACGGTTGGATCCTCATCAAACATGCTTTATGAAAACTGGTGGGGAGCTGGATTTGGTATTTGGCCATAGTTTGCCAACCCCTTCTCTACCGTGAAAAGCGCCATTCCCTTTGTTTACCAGGATCCTTTCCTTATAACCAAACATGGCCATGTGGATGGTCAGATAAGAAGAGTAATAATCTGTGTGAGATACTTAGATATCTACAAGTGGATCGCTGATGATATATATGTCAATAATTTGCCTTAAAGAAACCCATTGAATAACTTCCAAGGTTAGTGTTTGCCATGATCTTAAGATACCTGAGCCATAGAGCTAAGATCCCTAAGAGGAGATTGCTTGTTTCTTCATGCTTTCCCTTTTTTCATGAAGTATTCAAAAATACTGAGCAAATGTACTACCAGCTGGTAAACAATGTTATAAATTTAGAGTCTAACAAATATTTAAGAAAGGGACTCTATTACCATTTGTCTCTGACAGAAAGAAATTCCTTCTTGCCTGAGCAATAGTTATAGATACCGAAAGGAAACTTTTTCTAGCTATCTGAACCTAAAGTTTTCTTTAAGAATCCATCAGCTTAGAATTTAATTATGTGGGTTTTTTGGCTGTATCCTTCCTGCCTGGTAATGAGCTCTACCTGTCACCTTTGCAGAGCTGAGTTTAACTAAACTGAAACTCTTTCCTACCACACCCCATCCAGTAGGAAAAATCAGTAGAGCAAATCCATGGTACAAGTAAGGCCAATACCCCAAATCCTAGCATCTAGCTCTATATTTCAGACTTATTTCCCGTGTATTTACTCCAACCTCACTGGGACTCTCAGTGCTGCTTTGTGGTCCATTTACTAGACCATTTAATTAAAGTTCATTTACCAAGGTCTGTTCTTACTCAGCTCCCTTCCCCATTTCTTTTTCCTCTAGCGCTTAACCAACTTAACTAACTCAACAAACAGCCTGGCTTATGAGTCACTGAAAAAATAAAGCCATGAAGTATGACTTCCTTTAACTACTCTCTTCTCACCAATAAATCAGTGTATGGCATCATCAATTCTTACCTCTTTTTCTTGTCTAGGAAAGAAGAGATGTCCCTGTTCCTCTTTTTTTTAATGTTATTATGAAATATTTCAAATGGATAGGAAAGCATAGATAATTGAATAATCAAATACTGTCATTTTTAATAGGAGTTAAGATTTTTCCACGTTTGCTATTCAAATGTTTTTCTTTGTTTTTAAGAAACAAAATGTAGCAAATGCAATAGAAGCGCCCTTTGTATTCCTCTCTTACCCCATTTCTCTCCCTTCTCAGAGATATTTTCAACCCTTAAGTTAGCATGTGTTCTTCTCATCCATAATTTACACTTTTCCAATATAGGTATATATTCATAAACAATATACAAAATTATTTCATGTTTTTTAAACTTGGCATAAATAGTATCATACTCTTTATATAATACTATGGGTAGCTGAGATTTATCTATTGATCTAGATGAGTGGTTTTTTACTTTGGGTATATGGCAGTCCCCCCTTATGCACAAGAGATACCTTCCAAGACCCCCAGTGGATGCCTGAAACCATGGCTAGTACCCAGCTCTTCAACTCTGCCGGAAATGTGGAAGCAGTCATAGCCTGTCCAGTAATTCTTTTTTTTTTCAATCCAAACCTCTTCCTGAACCTGTGTAACCATCCCTTACTTGCAGTAAATGGCTTGGTGTCACTTACTTCAGGGGATCTCTTGCTGAAGTCTTCATGAAGGCTCAGTGCTTTCTGGCACAACATGTGGCTGTCAGTTGGAGCATGTTTTCTGTTCACGTCTTCCACCCACAAATGTAATGCCTTTTCCATCTTAACTAAACGGTTACCACACACTGTGGCCATAACTTTTGCAGTGGAGGTACAACAGCAAAATTGGCACGATTTCTTTTTCCTTCACAATTTCTCACATATTAATAGAAGATTCGTCCTTACCGTAGATCTTAGCAACCTCAGCATACAATTTTTTTTTCTTATTAAGAACTTTCACCATTTCTCTTAACGCTCCATCGGGCGTAACGGATGTCACAGATTGTTTTGAATTTCTGTTGATTTTTATGCTGAATTTATGTAATAAACATATATTATTTTTACTTTGTGGCAAATTAAATTTGCATTCTGAATAAATAATAAGCATGCTTACACGTTATTTTCATTCATTTTCAATGTAAATAAATAAATGTAATACACGCATCTAGTTAGACGCATTGCGCCCGAACTCGTAACTTTTGCATTGTGCCTGATGGAGGGTAAAAGAAAGCACTTCATGGCTGTTCTTTGATGTATTTGACTTGCCAGCATCACTACTCTTGTGCTTTGGGGCCACTATTAAGTAAAATAAGGGTTACCTGAACACAAGCACTGCAGTACCGTGACAGTCGATTCGATAACCAAGACAGCTACTAAAATGACTGACAGGCCGGTAGTGTGACAGTATGGATACACTAGACAAAGGGATAATTCACATCCTGGAAGGATGGAGCAGGACAGTGTGAGATTTCATCACGCTACTCAGAATGACGTGCAGAACGAATTGTTTATTTCTGGAATTTTCCATTTAATATTTTCAGACCTCAGTTGATCGCAAGTAACTGAAACCACAGAAAGTAAAACCGTGGATAAGGGGGGACCACTGTGCATTAGATTATCCTGGGAAGCTTTAAACACATGCACATATTTCTTAGCCTTAGTCCCAGAGATCATTATTCATTGTCCTAGAGTAGAACCCAGGCTTTTTTTTTTTTTAATTTTATTTCTTAGAGCAATTTTACAGAAAATTGAACATAAAATACAGATCATTCCCATGTACTCACTCCCCCCACATTTTCCTCTTAGTAACATCTTGCACTTGTGTGGTACATTTGTTGTAATTGATGAACCTGTATTAAAATATTATTAACTGAAGCCCATAATTTACATTAGGATTCACTGTTGTGTTGTACAGTTCTGTGGACTTTGCCAAACACATAATATCATATATCTACCATTGTGGTATCATACACAATAGTTTCACTGCCCCGATAATTCCAAAGCTGTCAAAAGTACTCCTAGATAATTCCAAAGGATTGGCAGGCACACCAGTGGAAAAAACTGCTCTCCTGGGTTTCATTCTATTCTAGATCTTGGCCCACTAATTCTTCTACAACTTGTTAGCCCTCGCATGTTCTCAAAAGAGAAATTTTCTTCTTTAATTTTATACAGCTTTTCCTAGTTGTCCTTAGCAGGACTGTGTGTCCAAATTACCCAGATCCACCATTACCAGAAGTAGAAGTCCACCCAAGTTCCCCTGAGCAAAAGTTATGACCTGGCATTCTGGGAACGTCAGCTTTTCTTTACATCTCTTAGGCCTTCTCATTTAAAATTTCTTTGGTACCCTGAATGACTGAAACTGCCCTGGGTGTCACACAGAAGAAAGAGGCAATTTACATCCAAGAAAACTAAATCCAGATTTGTAGGCACTGAGCAGAGAAGTGAGTTCCTACATCTTTCAGAGAAGCTTAATACAACATTGCCAGTTTAGACATAGTAGAACAACCTTACCCTTTGTCCATTTCAAGTAACAAAGCAAGCAAAAGTAGCTTAAACTTTTAAAAAAGAATACCTCCCCAGAGCCACTTATCAGTGGCTCTGTCAATATCTTCCTGCTCTTGAGAGTTCCTGCTTTAATTCACTTGACCCAGATATTGGCAGAACAGCAATATGATTGCCAGAGTCTTGCCCTAACAACAGAAAATTTAAAAAACAAATTTTTAAGTTATTTAAACTTCCTTTTACCATGTGAAAGGGACAAACATTAGTACATGCCGTGGGACCTAGGCCAGTCATATGAGAGAAAATTTGTTGCTGATGGCAGTCAAACCTATGTTGTTTTCTGACATCATTGTAGGGTGTATCAGTCAAGGTGGGGCATGCTAGCTGCTGTAACAAGCCTGCAGAATCTCAGTGCCTTAACATAGGTTGATCTCTCGCTTACTATCCAGTACAGCTCACTGGGCAGCTTGGTCCATGTCATGGTGAGTCTCGAAGGGCCTCAGAATGCTCCATTGGATCCTATGTCTGTCGCCAGGAAGAACCATAGAAAGTCTGGGAAAACATACAGGAGGCTTGGAGCCCAGCCTGGGCATGACATAGTATTACTTCCGCCCATGTTTTATTAGCCAGGATTCAGTCACATGGCCCACATAACTGCAAAGGAGCCTGGGAAATATAGCTTTCCTATTAGGTTGTCGGAAAAGTCATCACGTATTTTTTTCTATGTTTTTATTTGCAAAAATGCGTCATGACTTTTCCGACAACCCAATAAATGCCCAGGAAGGAAATGAGATGGAGCTCAATGACCACATTGCATTATCTCTGTCTCAGTGTGTATTTTACTAACTTGAAGAGGTTGATTCAAGAAGGCTAATAGAAAAGGTGTGGGGTGAAAAAATTACATCCAGATACAGCAGAAAAGAGAGGTATTACGTAGATTTGTTGCCAGAGACTGCTAAGATAGAGACAGTTCGGCTTGTTCCAACAGGACCAGTCTTTGTCCCCATCAGTGGACTGGCTTTGTTGGGCACAGTTATTTTTAGGGCAAGACACTACTCTCATTTGTTAGTACGCCACACCTAGAGGGCACTAACTTAATACCCATGTACTTTTAGATGGCTAATAATTTAACTGTCTCTATATTTCTTTTTCAGGGTTTGAGTAAAAAAGTTGGCGTATCATCCTCCATTCTCCAAGGTCTCTGGATCTCCTATAGTACAGAAGGTCTTTCCATGGCATTGGCATCTTTGCGAAATCTCTACACTCCAAATATAAAGGTAAATGCATATAAATTACAGTTAAATTAAAACAGTAACTGGAAAAAATAAAATTAGAGGAGGACATTTAAGTGGCTGTTGAATTGATCTTTGACTTGCCTTTGACTGTCTTTTATTGATAATTTAATACACCAGGGGTGCCAAAAAAATGTACACACATGACTTGTATTCATCTTTTGTTATTGGTATATATTGAGTAATCCAATTTTAATACAGATTTTTCCTTTCTTAAAATGTGTATACATTTTTTTGGCACCCTCTGTATTTTAAATTGTTACATTTTATTCTGTGAGTCAAAGACCAAACCTATTGACCCTCTACCTTCTGTAAGCAGACTCTGATTTATAGGGTCAGGTCCTGCTGCTTTTAGGGAGTAAATCAGCCGTGGGTAGACTTAGTTTTGGCAGGAGCTTTTCTGACCAACAGTTCACGTAGTAGAGACTGTACTCCGCTCTACAGTATGAGTGGCATTTGCTCTAGTTACTGAGAGGTTTATGTAAATGAGACTATTTACATCCCTTTCCAAAGGCAAGGTGTGGAAAAAGGAACAAATGATGATTCTAAAACAAGGTAGTTATTAAATGCTCCTAGGCACTATTGTGGGGTCCCAGATGACTCCATAAAAGATGACTAAAAGGATGTGACTGATACTTGTCTGAATCTTATTTCTATTTATTTACTTATTTCTAGGTCAGCCGACTACTGATTTTGGGAGGTGCCAACATTAATTACCGGACAGAGGTTTTAAATAATGCTCCAATTCTGTGTGTCCAGTCTCACCTTGGTTACACAGAAATGGTGGCCCTGCTGTTGGAGTTTGGGGCCAACGTGGATGCCTCTTCAGAAAGTGGCCTGACGCCTCTGGGCTATGCCGCAGCCGCAGGCTTCCTGAGCATTGTTGTGCTGCTGTGCAAGAAACGGGCCAAGGTAATGGCTTCCTGACTCTGCTCCTTTTCTTTCTTCCCTTTTTCTTTCTTCCTGCTGTTGCCTTCCTTATCTCCTGTGTTAACTGGTCTAGGTAAGTCACATCAGGCCCTACTAGGGAGCAGATCAAAGGGAGTCCTGGCTCTGCGCACATCCCAGTGTTTGCATGCCACTTCCACACTGCATCCGGACACAGCCCTAAAACCTTTGAGAGGCACTTAGGAAACTGCATTATCAGCAGCCACAAAAAGCCCCTGCCTAACAACCAAGAAATTCTCTACTGAGCTCAGAGCAAAGAAGGAGTCGAGGATCAGGAAGACTGCAGTAGGAAGTCTGACCCGAATGGTGCCTGTAGACAGACTCTAAGCCTTTCATGTGTAGGGAAGACAAGTTAGCCATGGAGATAAGAACAGAGACCAGGCTCCCTCCTCCTGTCCTAAGATCCCTACTGTAGAGGTACAGGGAGAAGAGCGTTCTCTCTGTTTATCCCCAGACTGACCAGAGGCACTCAGAGGTGTTTCTGTTAGTGTATTTGAATTCTCTGAAAATGTTTCTCAAAAATGGGTTTGCTTTATGGTATCCCAAGAGCCACTGATATAAAAGAACTCCATTTCAAAATATTGATGGAAAGAAAAGTGCTGGTCTCAAAAATGGAGGCCTCTGGGGAAAATTGTAGCCTCTTGAAAACAAACTGAGGATATGGGTGTTTTTGCAGTGAAATATAAGTAATATGGATGACCTCATTCTGAGGTGTCCAGTGTTCTTACCAGGGAAGAAAGGGGGACTCCTGAGACTCCTCTGGGAACTGGGACTCACAGTGAAGTCCCAGAGCCTTAGATGTTTACGGTGACACAGTGATGGTCCACCGATAATGTCCTGTTCATTGCAATCAACACCTCTAGAAACAAAATAACTGGGACTTACTGTTATATTGCTGTAAATTCATGTTCTAATCTCAGCTGGGTCTTTTGTGCTGTTCAGCTATCATTTTATTCGTCTCTCATTTTTCCCAGAGCAGATATATAAATCATTTGTGTTCTTCTCAAGACACTATCAAACTTCTTTTGCCCTCCTACATTACCAAGATTGAGTTCACCTCAATGTACCTCTATCTCAAAACACTCGCCTTTACTTCTGCCTCAGAGAAGGATGTTTACCTTTATTTCCAAAGCAGTTGCCTCCACCTATAATTTTTATCTCAATATGTAACTCATTCTTTCACATTTTATTTCATTCTTTTTCTGAATTCACACTATCTTTTCCCCCAGTTTCTGCAAACCTGTGTCTCCTCTAACCCAAAAGAGAAATTGTCCTCTCTCCTGCTAACCAGAAGCTACCATCCCATCTCTTCCCTTCCATGTCCACCAAACCCGTCCTAAGTGTCATCTCTACTTGCTGCCTCTGCTTCCTTACTATCCCTTAACCATTTGTAGCCTGGCTTCCATGAGAGAAAGACAAGGCAAGTCATTAAAATCAGAAACAAACACAACTTGGTCAAAGCCTGTATTCATACTTTCTGGGAGGGCTGGGACAAGTCATTTAACCCCTCTCAATCACACTGTTTTCATCTAGAAAAACTAGTAGGGTCAGTTTGAGAATTTAAAATGATAAATCCTTCCTAAAAAGAGATGAAGTCTACAATCTCATGTGGTGTCTAATAAATAATATCCTTTAAAAGAAAACACCCGGAGGGGCCGGGTGAGTGGCTCAGTTGGTTAAGAGCTCGCTCAAGAGTTTGAGCTCTGAGCAACGGCGGTTCGAGTCCAGCCCGAGCTGAGCAGCCGCTGAGCTGCCAATAGATAGCAGGATGGCTCAGCTAAAATAAAAAAAAAAAAAATTAAAAAATAAAAAGAAAACACCCGGGGGCCGACCAAGTGGCGCGTTGGTTAAGAACTGGCTTGGGATGCCAGAGGGCCCTGGTTCGGATCCCACATATGAGGGCCAGTGACACTGCCCTCTACAGCTAAGATGCTGAACAACAGCTCAACCTGGAGCTGGGCTGCTGTGAGTCACCAGCGACGGTGTAGGCTGCAGCCCCTGTGGCAGTGGGTTGCCATGGGCTACCGTGTGTAGCCAGCAGCCAGCGTAAGCGGCCAGCAGCCGCAGTGAGTGACCATCCAGAAGCCGGCGACTGATCTCCCTCGCCCGGGAAGAGCGCAATGATGGTGCCAACTTGGGCCAGTGAAGCAACGCCCTCCACAACTAGACTGAAGAACAAAACGACAGCAACTTGTCTGTTCCCCTTCCCCCAATTCCCCAGCGCTGTTCCCATCCCCCCAATTCCCCAATAAAAATCTTTAAAAAAAGAAAAGAAAAAGAAAACACCCAACCTCCTGGCATTCAAATGAAGCTACTCTCTCAAAAGTCACTAACTAATTCCCAGTCACCAAGTAAAGTAAGCTTTTCTCATTTCTCACCCCTCTAAACCTCTCCATAGTATTGGCAATATTAACTGTGACACTTCTCAAACCTTGTCATGTTGTCCTAGTTCTCCTCTTACCTCTCTGGCTGCTCTTCTTTCTTCCTTCTCTGAATATACCTGTTCACTACGATTCTGTCCTCTGGCCTTCTTCTCCACCTTCACTCTCTCCCATGGCTTCAGCATGAAGATACTGAAGAACACTGGCCAGTTATTTTGTAGAATGTCTTTGAATTTCAGTTTGTTTGCTATTTTGTCATCAGTAGATTGAGTTTATATATTTTGGTCAAGAATACCACAAAAGTGCAGCCGTGCGCTTATTTATGCCACACTTCAGAGCGTGTGAGAGGAAGTTCACACCTGTCAGCCACTTGGTTAAGGTCACGCCTTCCAGGTTTCTCAGATCTGAAGTTACTGTTTTCCCTTTTTAATTAAGAATAAAATCCTTTAAAAAATTATCTTTTAGATTTACTAACTGTTGTCGCCCCAATAAACTTCAAAAAAAATTATCATTTAGGGAGGTGCTTTGAAACTAGGTGATACCTTTTTACTCATGTTTTTGTCCACTAATTTTAGGATCCATCAGTGATTCTTGCTATAATCATTACTACTGTGGTGTTTACCTAATGGTGATTTTCTATTTTCCTCATTCCTTCAACATTTATTAATTGGAATTCTACTTGTAAGAAAGAGCTATTTCTTATCCCTCATGTGTTTATTTATTCAGTTATTTATTTATAGCACTATGGATTCCTGGGTATTGATTTTATGCTATGACCTATAACCCATTCTTCTTATATTTTCTTGTTCAAATTACCACAGATTTGGCCATTAGAAGTTCCTTCAAGTTGGTTTATGTGTCCTTTCCAGTCCTCCCTGCCATTATTTTATGAGCACTTCTGTACTTTCTGGCACCACAAGATGTTCCAAACTCATCCTTTTTTTTTTTTTTTTTTTAAGCTGAGCCATCCTGCCACCTGTTGGCAGCTCAGCAGCAGCTCAGCTTGGGCCGGGCATCGAACCGCTGTTGCTCAGAGCTCACACTCTTGAGCGAGCTCTTAACCAACTGAGCCACTGGGCCGGGCCAGCCCCCAAACTCATCTTGTACCTTTACTGCCCCAGCCATGGAATCAACCATTTCAAGGCTCCTTTTATTTGTCCCCTTAGTTCTGAGCATGAAAATTTTCAATGACTGTCCATTACCTACTGATTAAAATTCAGACCACTTAGCCTGGAGTTCGAAAATATCCATGGTCTGGTCCCAAAAGACCCTCTTAACTTTATAGTTTAAACGTCCCCTTCATGTATCCTACTCTTACAAAAACTAGAATTAATCATTTCCTATCTCAGTGAATTGAAATAGACCTTTTCTTTGTCCATTTTGACTGCTATAACAAAATACCATAGACTGAGTGGCTTATAAACATTTATTTCTCACAGTGCTAGAGGCTAAATCCCAAGACTATAGCGCCAGCAGATTTGGTGTCGGGTAAGAGCTCCCCCGTTCACAGGTGGCACCTTCTCACTGTGTCCTCACATGGTGGAAGGGGACAAGCACGCTCTCTGAGCCCCGATATAAGGACACTGATCCCATTCATGAGAGCTCCACCCTCATGACCGAATCACTTCCCAAAAGCCCCATCTCCTAATGTCATCACCTTGGGGGTTAGAATGCCAACATAATTTTGAGGGGACCATAGCACCTTTCCCTCTGAATTTATTATTGATTCTGACTGGGAATTCTCTGGAATTCTGTTGCACTTTTACCTTCCTTATGGCATTTATTATATACTCCTTTGTTAGACGGGCTTTCATCATAGTCATTGCATCTCTCCTGCCTTGTTCAAAAGTCCTTGAGCACAGAATCTATATTTTACTATCTCAGTCACCTTTTTGTATCCTATGTGGTACCTTGCACATAGTAGGCATTCAGTATACATTTGTTAAATATGTGGTTGAGTGGACCTAAAGCTAGGGAGAATCAGAGAACTCCTGTTTCAAAGGCTCAAACTACCACAGGAAGATAACCTACTTATGTGCCAGAAAAGGCTCTTCATCTGCCGAGCCTTGAGGCTGGGGGCTTTCTGGTAGATTGCGCTTAATCAGGCTGTTCTTGCAGCCTAAACTTGTAACCAGCACTGCAGTTGTAAAAACTGCTATTGGAACTTACTCTAGCATTAAGCTCCAAGTACCTCTAGCCATTTTGGCCAGATCTTTGAGATTCCTCCGCGCTCCCATTGGAAGAGAGGAGCAGCCTTTGCCAAAGTTTGGTGGTCAAAAGTGTGATTCATGATATGAGATACTTTGCTTCTTTGGAAGACCAAAAAATTTGAGCTTCAAAATGTTTTTCTTTCCTTTCATGATTTCAAAGACAGTTTTTTATACTCAGAGACCTACAAGTCTTTCAAATCATAGAAAAAACTATGTAAGGACAAAGGAGAGTGTACCCCAGGATAACAAAGCTGGAGCTAGTTCTTGGTTTCTTTTGATGTGAAAACAAAAGCCTGACCTTATGAAATGGGGTTCTCCCCAGAGGGGCATCTACAGATTTGTAGCTCAGCGGTGATCTAGCCTGAGTAGGAGAGCATCTTCTAAACTTCTTCAGAGATTGGTTCAGGGGATGGGAAAGGATGAATCGTGGTGGTCCAGACATGGGCAGCAGGTTGATATGACTACATTGGGAGTACAGCCACGAGTCTTTGTTCACAGATTCCTCTGTCACTTTCCCTTAGGTGGATCACTTGGATAAGAATGGGCAGTGCGCTTTGGTCCATGCTGCACTCCGAGGTCATCTGGAGGTTGTCAAGTTTTTGATTCAATGTGACTGGACAATGGCTGGCCAGCAGCAAGGGGTGTTTAAGAAGAGCCACGCCATCCAGCAGGCCCTCATTGCTGCAGCCAGCATGGGCTACACTGAGGTAAGAAAGTAGGTGATAAGGTTTTGGGGTTTGGGGCAGGAGGATTGCAACTCAACCATGATTTGATAAAGAGAGTAGTACTCCAGTTTACTAACTCTTTTCCCAATAATTGTATTGTCATTAAACCTGGTATGTGATCTGTTAAACTACTGCTCACTCTCATGCAAATTCTGTTCATTAAACTAGGACTTCTGTCAGCCTTAGCACTAAATCAAATCCTGATGTGTAATGTTTCCAGGGTGTAAATACTCCCACCATGGCTGATTTCAAGCTACCACTGTGACATCGCTGAACACAAAGTTGTGAAGAGATGCACAGTACATACCATTATGTAATATTTCCATCATACAGCCACAATAAATATAAATCACCTTAAGAGTGTAGATAGTAGTAAAATGCAGTTAAATGATTAAAAAGATAAGAGATCTTATTTTTTAACTTTTAAGTATAATTTATTTAATTGTTACTTAATTTTTAATAAACATCTTTGTTTAACAACTGGCTTGCAAACTTCCTGAAAATTTAATGATCAGCTTCAGTGGGCCAGTCCTAGTCATCTCACCACTGCCTGAGTGGCTTCAGTGACACAGCTACCCTTTCGACTGAACTGATATGATATGTCAGTTCAAGGGAATATTAAGTAAAATTGGAATTTGTATTATCTATGGGAGGGGTGTTTTTTTTTTTTAACTCTCTCTACAAATTCCTGGAAACAGAGCTGTTCCTTTTCTCTGTTGTTATCAGCCATTTTCCATTTATTGTCCCCAAAGCAGTTTTTGTACTTAGAGGAAAAAGGAACATAATTGCTCTGCTCTGAAGAAACACTGGCCCTGCGTTTTCTCCATATTTATTTTCTGTTTTTTGTTTTTTGATTGGTTGGTTTTTTTCTGTTTATTTATTGGTATTTTTATTGGAAGGATGAGGGCTTGCTTCTGTAACTTAAATATGAGCAATATGTAATTTTTTAGATCACATGCCATATAAGTGAATTATTTTCGAGAGAAATATGTAAGCTGCACCGGAACCAATGCTAATGGTAGCTTCGGGTTTCTTTGCTAGGACAGGCAGTTCAGATTTCTCTCGCGGGCAGGAGACTTCGTAACCCTTGGATCACCCACGTATCTTCCAGTCCTCACAGGCTAGTGTCAGTAGCATAGTCTTCCACCTGATGCTTGAGCTGACACAACTTCTTGTTTCAGATTGTCTCCTACCTACTTGATCTTCCAGAAAAAGATGAAGAGGAAGTGGAGCGAGCACAGATCAACAGCTTTGACAGTCTCTGGGGAGAGACAGGTACTTGTCACAGACATCACTGTCTTCTATCATGAATGTGCTGTGTTTGTGGAGATACTCTCTGCATCTCCCACCCTGATTTTTTCTCTGGCATATCTCAGGCATCTCTGATAGCTTTTTTATTGGAGACCAGTTCAGCCAAAGTGAAAAGTCAAGCAATTTCCTTCTTTCAATCCTTGTTACCTTTGGATTCTCCGTATCATTAGCACCGGAGTCTTCTTTCAAACAAAACTTTCCCCCGTTCTTGTTCCTAAATATTTTTAAAAGACTGAAAGTTTCCTTACAATGTGCCAAACCAGAACACAAAATAGTTGTGGTCTCTCTCTCTCTCTCTCTCTCTCTCTCTCTCTCTCTCTCTCTCTCTNTCTCTCTCTCTCTCTCTCTCTCTCTCTCTCTCTCTCTCTCTCTCTCTGTCTCTGTCTCTGTCTTTTTTTTTTTTTCATGTGATCCCTGAAGCAGTTAGAAATAAATATTTCTCCCATCAAAATAACTCTTCACCTATAGTTGTAAACCAGGCAGTTAAATTTTTATCTACATCTCTGGCTTAACCAAGTGTTATCATAGCAAAATGGTATCTGACACATTATGAGTAAAGTTGCTATCTGGATGCAAAGTGAAGGTGCCACCCTGTGAAGCTCCGCCCTACACAATCCCTCTTGGTCTGTAGCATAGTAATGTCTATACTGCGTGGTACTTACTACACAAACAGAAGCCTCTTCCTTGTGACCTTTGCAGGAAATGATTGTTGTCTTTCTCCCAAGTCTAAACTGGAACATCTGGAAACATTAGTAAGCTTTTCTGTGTTTTTTTGAAACCAGGGCAATGAAAACTGTAGAGACACCACAGATATGTGTCATGTTTGCCAGGAGAAGTAGACCAATATTGAGGTGGCCAGCTTAGGGAGAATATTTTACCAAACAAGAAGGGTATGTGTTTTGATTAGGGTCAGAGTGATATTTAAAAAAAAGAAAAAGAAAAGACTTGAATTCATTTAAAATTTAAAATTTAAAATTACCTATTGAATTGTGATAGTTCCACCCATGGCAGAAATCTTATATAGGTTGCATGGCTTCTTTAACATCATGTTAGAATGGTCCAAAGCCCAGGAATTTGCTTCTCAAAAAATCCCTCCCTCTGTATGAGACAAAGGGAGCAGATGCCAGGCAGCTGCAGCTTAAGAGCCTGTGACAGATTAAAGGAAAATGTGCAGCTGGGAACAGCTGCTGTCTCTGGGATCCCACCCTGAGGGAAGCCAGAGGACAGACTGAGGGGACGAGACCAGCCAGGACATCAGTAATCCTGGAGGATGCATATTGTGACCCAGCGCTACAGAAGCGACATGGTGGTTTAGGACTCCTATCAGCACAGCACTGCCATAGCTCCCAACAGACTCCTGGCGTCAGGCCACACACATGTGACCACTGGGGAAGGCAAAAAGTGTAGTGGCCCAGTGGTGATAATGGATAGAAATCACAAGATTAACATAGTGATGAATAGCAAACACATTCTAGTGCGGTACTTGAAAGAATTCCTTAAGAATGTTCAAGAGGGGTGTGAACTAAGTGGAAGGCTTATTTTTATTGATAGGAATTACTCATTAGAATAAAACTTTATGTATGGTCTCAGGACTTTTAATACATTTCATGCTTTAAAGCTTGCCATAAAGTTTGTTACATTCTCTTACATATGTATCATATCTCAAGATTATAAAAAAATCAACGCTTCGTGTCACTTTGATAGTCAGTGTTGTTTAACTTTATATGAAATAATGTCAGCATTATAAACATAAAATGCTATTTAAATATAAGCTAGAATGAAATGCATTGGTAATATGATTTATTACCAATAGTTCTATTAAAAGTTATTTGACCTCAGAAAAATTTCTGGGAAATATGTCATTGCTATGTAAAAATGTTCCAACAACTTACCGCTAGTATAGAATAGCCTGTGTGTTGCTTTTCTATCGATAGTGATGGATTTACTAAGTATACATGTTCCTTTCTAACCTATAGCACATAATTATTTAAAATTTATAATGACCCACAGAATTGTGATGTTTCCTCCAATGGCAAAATCTTATATATGTTTCCCTTATATGGGGAATGAAGGTCTGTGACCTGCAGCCAGCTGGTTGGGGTCTCATATCTGAAACCCTGACCTATTGAATCTAAGACACCACTAACTACAAGAAACTATATCACCATTATATTATGTGCCACTACAAAAAAATTAAAAACCTGCCTATTAAGCTGACACAATTCTTTATTATAACATCAATTGCAACATGCATTCCAATTTTAGAGAGATTAAAATGTGAAGGAAAAAAAGTACATCTTAGAATCAATGAAATATATCTTAGCATATAGTGAAATAGTAATTGAGATGTAATTTTTACATATCAGATTTTCTAAAAGCAGATCACTAGAATATCCTGGTTGCCTCTGTCCCCTTTATGCAGCCTCTTTATCCTTCCAGATAGCAGCTTCCTACATCCAGCTTTCACCATCTGGCTGACCCCCTCCCATCCCACAGGGTTTTTACAGACTTCTCATGGAACAACACAGAAGAAAAGCAATTAAGGTGACACGATTGTTCACCACGCCCTCCTCTTTTTTGTCTGGTGGGCATAGACTAAGATGACCGTTCAAAGCTAGCAACTCTGGAGGGCCTGAGCGAGCCATCCTATGGCCCAAAAGAAGCGCGAGTGCACAAAATAAACAAGATACTCTAAATTCATGCCCTCATTATCCCTTGCCTAGATTTTACAATTACCTCCTAGCGGATCTTCTTGTCTCTAACCTCGCCCTTTTGTGACTCATCTCTCAGACTTTAGCCAAAGTGATCTTTATCAGCCACAATCTGTGGCATTAAGTTCTTTAATGTAGCATAAAGAGACCAGTGATGCTCTCTAGCCTTACCTATTGCCTGTCTTCTCCAGTAACTCCAACAACACTAAGCACGCTATTTCCCACCTCACTGCCTTTATACATGCTCTCTCTGTGCCAGCATGCCTCCCTCTTAGCCCTTGCAGGCCTGTAAGTCTCCTGTTTCTCTTTCAGCATTTAGCTCAGATTGTCATCTCTTCCTGGAGACCTCAGACACTTCTTCCCCTGTGCCACCTCCATACAACCAGCCTCCATGGACTTATGTCTGTTGTGCATATCACACTCTATAGCAGCGGTTCTCAACCTGTGGGTCGCGACCCCTTTGGGGGTCGAACGACCCTTTCACAGGGGCCGCCTAAGACCATCGGAAAACAAAAAGATATTTACATTACGATTCATAACAGTAGCAAAATTACAGTTATAGAGTAGCAACGAAAATAATTTTATGGTTGGGGGTCACCACAACATGAGGAACTGTATTAAGGGGTTGGGGCATTAGGAAGGTTGAGAACTGCTGCTCTATAGGAATGTATTTGTTTATTTGTCTGTTATCCTTACTCCACCATGAGTTCCCTGAGAGCAGAGACAGTGTCTGACGAATAGCTCAATAAAGGTTTGATTAATGCTGTTTTGGATAGCAGTGATCAGTTTATGTCTTTCCAACCACCTCCCTCCCATTGGTCTTACATGACCTGTTTGCTGTACTGTTTCAAGGTTGAAAGTAGATAAACAAAAGAACCATTTGCTTCACTGCATTCTATTAAGTGTCAGCATCCCATTCAAGTAGACTTTGGCTATTTCCCCAACTGTAAGCTGCATCCTTTCTGCCTCTTCAAACTTCTTAGATGTTTCCATTTGAAACATCTTTCAAGGACCATTTGTGTCATACAATCTCATCAGATGCTGACAAGCTAGGGAACAAATTCTGTTACTGGTCTCTCAGGAAGAGATTTGGCTCCAAACTGCTGTGTTTGCTTTAAGAATTAATTTGGTTTTTTACAGAACTAGCTTTACCTTAATCTTTTTTTTTTTCCAAAAAGTTTTATCAGTTTTTGATAAGACTTCCCTAAAATCCAGCCAAAGCAATTCCTTGCTCTTGGATTTAGAAAAGCACAGGCCCCATTTTACAGAGTTGTGTTGTTCTGAGATGAAATTGGCCAGCTGTGTTAATGACCATGTGCAGCTATCAGCTGGAGATTCTGCCAAATTACCTCATAACCTAAGCAACAGAGCAGATACAACAAAGAAAAAGGCCAAATGGAACATTCCCTCTCATGTAAATGTGTTATCCAGTGGGCCAGCCAGAGCAATATAGCCCCAGGTTAGAATGGACGATGTAAGTTTAGCTTTCAAGATGGGCACTGGCTGTGCATTTTCTACTGTGTTCTGTTTTGTGTTCTCTCAGCATCATTGATTCTGAAATACTGTCTGTGTTTTCTCCAGGGCACTATAAATTATTTTATGTAAAAGAATGTATCCCCCACCCCTCACCCTGCCTAATGGAACATTAAAAGGGAAATTTGCTGCAACCCTGCCACCTAGTAGCTACTTTAAATGGGGTCAGAACATGGGAGTTAGAAATTTTCCAAATCATTTGTTTTGTGTACCAACAAGGTGATGGATGGCTCCTAACAAGTATCTAACTCAGTCAAGTCGTATTTTTTCTCCCAGCGTTACTGATATATAATTGACATATGTAACATTGTGTAAGTTAAGATGTACAATGTGATTATTTCCAGTCAGATTCTCAAACTGCTCTTGTGTTCTGTCCCAAGAGCTAAAGTGGTGGGGGTTTTTCTGAACTATTAGAAATATAAACTTAAGAAAGAGGGAAGATGACTTTAATTTAAAGAATAAAAGACAAGTGCTCACTTTGGCAGCACATAGACTAAAATTGGAACAATACGGAGAAGATCAGCATGGCCCCCGCACAAGGATGACATGCAAATTCATGAAGCGTTCCATATTTTGTAAATTAAAAAAAATAATACAGAACTTCTTTGTCAAGTAAATAATCAGACCAATCAATACCTGTACTCATCAATTCAGGACTTGGAAACTTGGAAACGACCCTCACCCAGATAGGACCAAACCTCTTCCCTTCTGTGATACCAACGTTTACAAACTGAAATAGTATCTGCATCTGTCAAATGTTATCTTTTTCTGATTTGTCATTGGAGTAGGTGGCCATAATAAAGGAAGGACCTGCTGACTACTACATCTATTTTCCAAGTCAATTTGGAACAAAGTGCTCTATCTTTCTTCAAAAGTATAACTCCTGCCATTTTCTAACAATGTTTACCATCCTCCCTACCCTCATCCATTCTTTTAAACACAAAACCTGTGTGTTTGCGATCTCCTGGTTAAATGAGACAAAGGTATATTTGTTCCACTATAGACTTAGTAGAAAGTACATCTTCTGCTTGCTACTATTCAAATAGTACTCAGAGGATGAAATAGGCACTCACAGAATCTCTACTGTATCAGACCATAAACAATGGACAACAGCACGAAAAGGATGTTCAAGTGTCTTCCCGCTGTGTCCTCTATACTCACCATAGCAGTTTTTTTTATCTGTGACTTCATAATTTTATATTCAGAAGAAAAGAGCCTTTGTCACACCTCTCATCTTTAAGACAGTTCTGATCCATATAAACATATGAAACTGAACTGAAACATATAAAAATGTTTGTAGATGTACTAAAAACTTCTGTCTCAACTAATGGAGTAAAAGAATAAAAACTGACCCAAGGCCCTTACACTGCCATTTCTGACTTTGGTTCTTTAGGTTTACGGGCACAGGAATAGAGAGGTTGACCAGAGGTTGTTCCTGGCTGATTCTAAAATAGACCTTACTCTGCAAAGGCCCTTCTCTCTCCATTCCACCCACACATAGACCAGTAGAAGGATTGTCGCTAGGAAGCAGTACCAAAAAAGAGGTCAAAGGCAGAGAAGGCGGGTCGGGTAGGAAAAATGAAACCAAGTAAGAATAAGTGTGATCAGAGGTTATTTTTTTCAGTAAATTTATAGGCCCATTTCAGTGTAGTTTTTTTTTCTTTAAAAATTTCCTTCATGTCAAAAAAGTAGCTAAAATCATTATTCTTGGAGGTAAAGTAGTAGTTACGTTAAACACATATACTGCCGTGCTTAACACAAAGAGCTGGAGAGAGCAAGAACCACCTGTCCTCAGTCTGCCTTCTCTGCCCTTAGCCCTGACAGCTGCAGCCGGACGGGGCAAACTGGAGGTATGTCGTCTGCTCTTGGAACAGGGGGCGGCCGTGGCCCAGCCCAACCGCCGAGGGGCGGTGCCCCTATTCAGCACTGTTCGCCAAGGTCACTGGCAGGTAAGCAGGGTAGCCACTTCCAGTCCCACGCGCAAGGGTGAGTTCTAGGTGGAAACTTCTGATGCAGAAAGAAAAAAAAAATTACAAAGTTTGGGTTACTCAGCAGTCACTGAGTTTGAGGACTTGGGCATTTGTTATTAATATTCTAGTTAATTGAGACTGTCAAAAATTCAGAATCGTCATCATGATCGAGTGTATAGATGGACTAGCTCCTTTTAGCCTGGTCATGGAGTGACTTCCTTCCAGAGAACATTTCACAGTATCCACAGGTTCTTGGGAAGGTTCATATCTCAAGAGATCCCTGCTAACCGCTTACTTTCAGGTGTCTCGAACTTGCTAAAAGAAAATGTGTATATAAATTTTAGCCATGTGATCTTTCCAGATGTTTGGCTTCTTGATAAGTGCTAATTTATACACTTTGGATTGAAAAGAAAGCATATTCATAACAATCTGTTGAAGTATTTGAGTAGGAAAAAAAGGCTCTAGAAGCCAAACAGTGCTAACGACTTATTAGAGGCACTTTTTTGTATTCAGTTCAGTTGTAAATATTCACTGCAGGCAAGTTTGCAACTCCGAGAGGTCAAGAAAATGGCACTGACATAGGTGGTGACTTGTGTTGGAGCTTCAGTTATGGGATTGTTTAGTCTACATCTTAGCCTTTGTTATCCTAAATCCTCTTTTACTCAGTGGCTGAGTCAAACATTCAGAGTTGAATTCCTTTCATTTGGCTGTCCCTAAGAGAGTCAGAGACCAAATCACATGGTACTAGGACTGCAGGACCTAGAGGGGTTCTTGCGGTGGAAAGTTACGTGTAGAAGCAACCCACCTGTGCAGCCGCGGGAGTTCACACAGTGGAGGGAACAGCATGCATGCGTCTGCTCAGCAGCAATTCCTGGATAATTGGTCCCCATTTCTCTGCACTTGCAGATTGTTGACCTTTTACTCACCCATGGAGCTGATGTCAACATGGCAGACAAGCAGGGCCGCACTCCCCTGATGATGGCTGCCTCCGAAGGCCATCTAGGGACTGTGGACTTTCTACTTGCACAAGGTCAGTCCTGGGATGGTCAGTGCCAGTAATAATGCAAGGAACTCATAATTTTCAGTGATAGATTTCAAGAAATGCTGCGAATAGATATTATTAACCCAGTTGGCTAGAAAATAAATGTCCATCTCCTCTCCTCCTATACACAGTGGGACCCTTCTAACTCTGACATTCTCCATTTCCTTATACTTGAGGGGTCTTTAGTATCCTAATCAAATTAAAATATTGAAAACTCTTCAGTTTAAATCCATAACCTTCAAACTTTAATTTTTAATGTACACTCAATAAATGTTCATCTTCCAGGGATTGTATTTTGACTTTAACTTTATCATTCTTTTTAAGCCCTCACAATATTTTTATTATATCCAACGAAGGCAAATGGAGGTTAAGACAATTGCTGACAATGGGACCCTATTTAAGAAATCAGGATGTCATTATCCTCCTGTTGTAATAAGTTCCTTTTGACATTTATAAACATTCACATATTCCTGGTGAGGGGAAATAAGTTAAAAGACACATAACCACCATCAAAACATCCCAGGCTCCTTTTGACTGCTGTGACCTCAGTCACCTGTGCAAAACAGTGCTGAGTGATGGACCTCTCTCTTGGAAGAGCTCAAGTCACCGGTGACTCTACAGCACCATCTAGTGGAGCTTGAGCACTTACATGATTGTGGCTGCCTTAATGACGTCATTCCAATTAGCCTTCCCTATCAGTAAACTGGGCGTAAATATCTATAATTATATCCAAGAAATTATATTCAAGACAACCAGCCTCCTGAAGAATCATGCCCAGGCCAAAGCTATTGAGGATAGTTAAGTTTAGGAAGAAGATGAGGTTTCTTCTAAGATGTCAAACTACAACTTAGAGACTTATTGGATCTTTAGCTGTGTTTTCCAAAAACGATATGCTTCCACAACCTCAGACTCACAAGGCTGGGTCAGAATCAGAGAACTGCACTCCCAGTGTGCAAAGCGGTTCTTGCTTTCCCAGTACAAGCCATCAAACAAGCCTGGTTTCATGATCTCTCTCCTCATTTCTGCTATGAGGGGGCTGGGAAGGAAGGGGGGTGTGCCTAGATTCCCAGGATAAGATATGGCAGGAATAAATGTTCCAGAACAACCCGAGTCTACTGGAAAAGGCAGGACCTCTTCAGCCACTGATAACCTTTTAGTAGCTGCACAGCGTCTGCCACATTCCAGTAGCAGCTCATCAGGCACACATTCCAGAGAGTTCTTCTCCCTTACCACTGCAGACATTCTGTCTTTGTACTATTTCATTTTTTACATTTAAATCAGAAACTGTCACTAAATCAACAAATTCTACACACATTATTTAACCTACATTATTTGTAGAACACTATGCTAGGAACTGTGAGTGGTTTTTTTTTAAATTAGTATAGTATAATCTGTGCCCTCAAAGTGTCTATAATCTGTCCAGGAAGGGATGAAACAAAGATAAATAGCTACCTTAAAAAGCAGAGGATCCCAAGTACTCTAATAAAGGTATCTGAGTTAGAATAGAACAGACTTTAAAACTGGAATAGGAAAATTGTTCTATATTTAAGAAGGGGAAGTAATGTAATTGAAAGATGATGGAGGAGGGATAGTACGCAACAAACTTGGGGAAATATGCAAGTTGTCCAGTGAATTACAGTATGAGGACTATTGGGAAATAAAATGGGAAACATATATGGAAAGAAATTAAAAAGGAACAGATTAAAAGAGTTTGGACTTAATTCTAAAGGCAATGGGGAGCCTTTCAAGATTTTTTAAAATGGGAATTGATGCCAGAGTTGTGCTTTTAAAAAAAAAATCACTCTGGCAGTAGTGTGAATAGTAGATTTCATGAAGTAATTATAGTGGACCAGGGGATCAATTAGGAAACCGTTGTAGTAGAATAGATGAGAGGCAATGAGGCCCTAATCCGGGCACAGTAGCTATTAGAATAGAACAGAAGGACCAAGTGCAGAATAGATTTTGGATGTAAAGATTGATTGCATAAAGGAAATAAGGAGAGATGAGTTGAAGATAACTGCCAAGTTTTAAGATGGGTGTTTGGGAGAACGTGATTCCATTAACTACAAGCGGAAGAAGAGAGGAAGAAGATTACAAATTGATTATGGAAGTAGATTAAATATATGGCTTTATTTCATATATATCTCCTTTTAATTTCTTAAATTCTAACTTCCTTGTAGTTGGAAAATCAGTTTATCTGTAATATACATCCAGAACCTTATCCTGCTATTTCAACCACTGGAGGCTCCGTCCAGGAAATTTATAAATGTTTCTGAGAAAAATCCTTGGATCCTGTCCCACATTTAAAGTCATTCCATGTTAGAGTCGATGTTTTCATTGCAGCCTATACCATTATGAAAAGATAACCCAGTACATAAATGGTACTTTCCAGCCCTTCATCCTGCTCTGGGAAGCCCCGGAGTCTGGTTATCTGACCTCTAGGGATACACAGGTGATAGGCCAGATAACAGCTGAGTAGACCCTGAGCTGGCTGTGGCAGGTCCTAAGCTTGACCTGACATCTGAATCCTGTCCTGCTGAAGAGGCAGCCTGGAAAGTGTTCTGTGTGATCTCTAATTTAGTAAGTACCACTTGCCAGCCATGTAAGAAGAATTATCTTAGGTACTCTTCAAAACTAGCAAGGAAATAATGGGCTCTTTGCTATCTAATAGCTTACAATCTAGGTAAGAACCCAATGTTTATTGAATTTTAGACTAATTACAAAAGTGCATCAAGTATGCTTCATCTTTACAGATGAAAAATAGAGATTTTGAAGGCAGATACAAGATATAGAAGGGGCTAAGAGTGAGTTATTGAAGACCAAACTCCAAATTTCCCTTGTGACCTGGGCTCAGTGTCTTCCCGTGAGTCCATTTCCCCCCACAGTCTAGTAGGGAAAGCGACCTGGCATTATTATCAATGATAAACATGTACTGACCTCCTATTTTATGAGATTCTCTCAAGGAGTTTATACTATTATAAATGGAAGGCTTTTGCTGAGTTCAAAAAACATTTAGAATTTATTACATGCAAGTAGGATAGATTTTAAAAGATTAATAATAGACAAAGGTAACTTAGCAGTTCTATTGAAAGATAACTCACATATCAGAAACAGAAGCAGTGCTTCTGCAGAGCATGCACCTTAATTAAGTACCAGCTTTCCCTTCTGCTGTGAATCTTCATGTCTCATCAGCCCTGTGTTACACTTGCTCTTGTAGGCGCCTCCATTGCTCTGATGGACAAAGAAGGATTGACAGCCCTCAGCTGGGCTTGTTTGAAGGGTCATCTCTCCGTAGTACGTTCTCTGGTGGATAATGGAGCTGCCACAGACCATGCTGACAAGAATGGCCGCACCCCGCTGGATCTGGCAGCTTTCTATGGTGATGCTGAGGTGGTGAGTGCCTTTAAACAAAAGTCTCAAGGTTGTAGGGATAGGGAAGGTTCCCCATCCATAATGTTGTCTGGGGTTGAGGGTAGAGTGACGTGTTGATGAGTCCTGATATAAAGTTCCCAGATCTGTACTTGTTAGAAAACAGGACTATTCAAAACACAATTAAAGACCAAGAATGCAGATACGGCCTGCACACCCTGGCTACCCAGCCTGGTTCGGACCAGCAGTTGCATAAGGGCAGGCAACAGGCAGAGCCCTCGAGCAGTGCTGTACCATTGCACCTGTGTTAACTGCTTTGCTTGGTCCACATCCTAGGTCCAGTTCCTGGTGGATCATGGCGCCATGATCGAGCATGTCGACTACAGCGGAATGCGCCCTTTGGACAGGGCAGTGGGGTGCCGGAACACTTCTGTTGTTGTCACTCTTCTGAAGAAAGGAGCCAAGATAGGTAGGAGAAAAGGAAGAAGGTGCTGGCCATCTGTGCCCAGGGGCCAGACTGGTCCAGTGGTCTGGCTACCCTGGGTGTTTTGTGTGAGTGTATAGAGTTTCCCCTCTGCCCTGGCCCAAATATTGTCCAAGTGAACAAACAGGAAGGCTCTTGGCTCAGAGAAAGCCATCTGAGCCATGGTCTACACTACCCTGTGTCCAAAGTCACCTGGTTGTCTGCCATGTCCCCAAGTCGCCTTAGCCAGGCGGCTGTTCTGCCCTGAAGCACACCTTGGTGCTAACGCCTCTGTACCAGCCCCATCCTGTGAGCATCCTGGATCCCTGCACGGCCGTGAGCCTTTGCTTTCCCTTGCTCTGTGTGCTTCAGACTCAAGTCCCTGCTGCTGCTGCCCCATCCGCTCCCCCATTCCACAGACCTATAGACGAGGGTTGGCTGATATGCTGGCTTTTTTGCTGCCTGCCTCTCACTGCTGCTTTTTCCTTCTTTTTTTTTTTCACCTTCATCCATTTTTTTTTTCCTCTCCTACAACTTTTTGTTTTCTCCTTTCTTTGAAGGTTGTCAGACGTTACCGAGTCGCCCACGAGGTATATTTCACCGCTGTCAGCATCAGGCGTGGTCTGATGGCTTGGTCAGCTTTGCCTTCTCCTCTTTGATTTAGCCTGCATGAGTTCCCTACACCTCTAATCTTTTAATTTACTTCACCTTAAAAGAAGATTTTTTTTAATGACTGTTGTAGAGAATAACTTGAACTTTTGATAACTAACCCTGAAAAGCTTAGTTGGTAAATAATTCAGGCATCTGTAAACTAATCAATTTAACCTTTTCTTTCTCTTTGGGGGTAAAGTAGTCCTCAGTAATGTTGGCTTATTTCACGTCTGTCTGACGTTGGGACTGTGCTCCTGGTTCACAGTAAATTTCAGGGAGTCCTGTTCGATACCCACAAAATCAGGGAGCCTTTAGTCTTGGATGATTTCCCTTCTGCAAAGTACATACTTAAATATTAACAGATTAAACACTGGGGGCTTTGAGTCCCATATTTTAACATAAATCACCCTTTTTGGATATTTTAAGTCGTATGGTGACATTTAATGTAAACCCTTTCCCCAATGTCCTTATTTAACCCTCCGTCGGGCGCAACTGATCTCACAGATTCATTGCACACAAAGATGCCGCTGTGAAGTCTTTACTGCACTAAGTCACAAACACGACTGGTGATAGGTTACGGTAGAGAGGGAAGATACGGAAGCGATGAGTTACGATACTTAACTGTTAGATATTTGAAAATTTGCATGCAATGAATCTGTGAGATCAGTTGCGCCCAACAGAGGGTTAAAATAACTCCAAACTGAGCCATTGCCTGCCCACATGCCACATGCAGGCTTTGCTGCCCTCCTGTGGTGAAAACTCAGACAGTTCTGATACTCTTATTTTAAGGTGAATACAAATCCAATGCAGCTTCTTGGCAGTGGGAGTCACTAAGATACTCCCAGGTCTAAGAGATGAGGAAATTGTTGTGGAGCAAGTTGTTCTCTCAGCAGAAATTCCCCCAGGATGTTTTTTTCACCTAGCTTCCTACCACCCTTACATTGTATGAGTTTTTTACCCATCATGCATCCTGTACACTACAGGTCCAGCCACATGGGCGATGGCCACCTCCAAACCAGACATCATGATCATCCTGTTGAGCAAGCTGATGGAAGAGGGGGACATGTTTTATAAGGTGAGGGGAGGGAGGAACAGCGTTTCCTCAAAACAGCCACTGACTGTTTCCTACATAGAGAATCTACCCAAGTCGTGACAGTTCTCATCCTTGGTTCTAGAAGCAAAAGGAGAATGCCATTCCTCAGTGGCAGGTTCGTAAGCTGAGGATCCTGGGTTTCTGCCTTCCCGGCAAGAGAGCAAGAATAGCCTACACATGCCTGTAGCTGATCTACCTAAAGACCTCCTTTGACCTGGTCACTAACAGGCAGTCACATAGATTTCTACATGGAATCTGCTAAGTGGGACTTGAAAATTCTTGAAAAAGTAAAATTATGTAGAACAGATATTTCCAATTCGTGGAAAAGAGTCATTGATCTTAGCCTTCACATTTAATATATCCATAGATTAAAAAGTCTATAGTAATAATAGTTTATCAGCATCTCTGAGTAAGATAAGGCAACTGAGACAAATAGCAATTACAAGATTTGCTTCAAGTCACTCACTGAGTGACAACAACAACAAAAAAGAATGGAGTCTATTATTATGTACAATTCAAGTTGAAAGCTCCATACCCTAACACACGCTCTCATGGCCTAGAGGAAGTTCCTTAACAACATTCCATGTCAGAAGTACCTTGTTGTGTTAAGATTAGCTGAGTCTTCTCCTAAAGGTAAATACAATTCTAACCCAGCTTGGTAGCGGACGTCACTAAGACATCCCCAGACTCACAGATGAGGAAATGATTGCAAAGCACATTATGCCACCCCTCTGGCCCGCCGTGTAATGAGTATATGGAGTTCCTGGGAGCAGAGTTGCATTTCCCGAGGATCCTTTGATGAGAGTCATGATTATCTAGGACTCACAGGCTTCTAGGAAACGAGTCCTGACCCAACCATGATTTCACATGACTTCCAAGGAAGGGCCTCGTTAGCTGTCGTATTTATGGACTTGAGAATGGCATTGCTCTCGAGAATCTAAATCCTGGTTATAATACAACTGATATTCTAAAACAAGGAGTCCTACTTCCTGACAAGAATGGGCAGAGCTACTACTGTTCTCACCCAGCATTCTGCCTTGGAAGACTCCATATCTCTCCGTAATGAAAGGTGCTAAAGAGAAAATAAGAGACAGGATCCCTGGTAAAGTTATAGCTATACAGAAGGAATGGAGCAGATAAAGATCAGGTAGAGGAATGGAAGGTGCCTCCTGCATCATTCTGGGCTCAGCTGAGAGATTTTCAAATACCAACTATAAGAAAAATTCATGACCCTATAACCAAGTCCTTAAGTTGGTCATAGATATACTTCATCTTGCAAAATCTCTTCTACAGAGACAGATGGAATCACGAATTCTAAACATCATTTCTCTACTACCACCCTACCCCATGTCTTTTCTAAAAACAGGGAAAACGGATTGATACTATTTTATATCATGAGAATAGGGAACCAGCAGCTAGATTATTTTAGCTACTACATCCTTTGTAAGGAAAAGAACGACCTCTTCTAGAGGACTGGCAAGGAAAGAGTTTCCCAGACAAGCCAAAATTAAGGAAGCAGTAATAACTTTAGCATTATTGGGACTGAGAAATGATATGTGTGCCCGGGAGATCAGGTCAAGAAAAAGCTCCTTTAAAATGAGCAAGGTCAGACCCTTAAGAATCCAGTTGGAAAGCTGGGGTCCCGGGCCTTTGATTCACCAAGGCTTTGTTTCTCTTACTTGTACTTGGGTAACCCCTCCACCGTGCCTTTTCCACCAGGTAAGTTTCTGAAAGGAAAGGCTGAACCATTCTGCTCTCACCATCAGGGCCAGACCTCCCCTCCAGACTGGTGTTTGGGAGGGCTAACCTTTAGCAATAACTGGTGAGAGAAGGGAGAGAGTGGGGCCAAACTTCCTCAGTTGCACAGCAGACCAACTGTGTGTTTTGCCATCTTGTCCTCCCATTAGAAAGGTAAAGTAAAGGAGGCTGCCCAACGCTACCAGTATGCTCTGAAGAAATTCCCTAGAGAAGGGTTTGGTGAGGACTTGAAAACCTTCCGGGAACTGAAAGTGTCTCTTCTCCTCAACCTCTCTCGATGTCGCAGGAAAATGAACGTAAGTCCCTCTCATCCCAACACCTTTCTACAATCCTGGAAGTTGACAGTCCATGTCACTCACTAGCTTTTACCAGGCCTTGAAATCCTTCTCTGCCCCATTTGGAACTTGGTTGTCCTTCACAGAGCACTGACATTTGCAATTTGAAAGAAATCAACTCTTAAGTAAAATCTGTATCTCAAACTGAAAATGTTAATGCCGTAGACACTTTCTAGTTTTCTGAATTTTCTTAATTCCCGCTGAAAGTGATTGGAATACTGTCGTCATCCTCCCCCACCCCCAAGTCAACTTTCTGGTCTTTGGGAAAATGTGAGAGCAGTTGTCACTAGAATTCCAGCTGTAATTAGTTATGAATTTTAGTCATTCTCTTTCATTCTAGAAGTCCTCTGAGTCATTAAAGAAGGGCTGGGAAGAGGGCTCAGGACTGTGGACTACAAGGTTTAATTTTAAGGCTAATTTTGAACTTTTCACTTCTTTCCTCATCTTTTTATTCTAGCATGCCATGTCCCTTCTTTTCCGAGAGAGAATCTTAGAACTCTTCCTGGTCCTTTATTATCTCACAGGTAGTCCTTGGTCCTTCTTCCTGACTTGCAGATACAGTCTCTGACGTCCTGAGCACCCATGATGTGCAGACCCTCCCAGGCCAACAACCCTCTCTCAGATCCTGGGACTAGCTAAGGTCATGTCAGGAATCTCTGGCATCCACCAACCTGAGGTCTCACACTTTATCGGGATACCAATAACCCAAGCCAAACATGAAGGTCGATCAGTAAAGAGCTCAGCTGTACCAAAGCCAGATTTCAGCCTCAGGGGCAATGGATCTGCTGTCAATTCCAGAAAGATTACTTGTGTATATGATCTTCATATCATCTACCTCAAACCTGCCAATGAAAAGAGCCCTGATGTAGACTTGGGTGTCTCGGAAGACACAAGCTAGGGCCCTAAGAGGCAGGGGTGCTGAGGAGAGAGGTTCCTGTGGGAAGGGGTGGGTGCCTTGGGGGAAGCGGTGAAGTTCTTAGGTGAAACAGAAGTGTCTACACCAGGTGTTTCATTACACCACCTGGTGAGACCGAGACAGAGTTCAGGAGCTGCTGCCAGCCTTCGGGCTTCTCTGCCTAACAAATAGTACACTTCTTAAAATACTCTCATCTTCCCAGGAATAATGATTGTCCCAAAAGAAAAAGTTAAAGGGTAAGGTTGGGAAAAGAGTAGGGATAGAAGACACCTCTTGTAGGATGGAATACTTTCTCTTGAGCCTCACATTTATTCAGAAACAGTTAACAGTCACCTCCCATGACCACAACTGTGCTAAGTAGCTGAAGTCTCTTTGGAGACAATTGCCCATGATTTTTTTTTTAATGTTTACCTATGCCCCAGGGCCTTTGCTCTGCCTGAGGCCTTGTTTTCTGCATTAGGAATCACAAGTGTAACCAGAGGCTACTGTGCTATACTTTGGCTTTGACTTAAAAGAGGCGGAAAAAACTTCCCTTTTATATAAGAGTATCTTAAAAACTATGGCTTCGTTCCTTCAGGGAGCCTCAGTGATCAAGAGATGAGGTGATAGCACAGACTCCAGTCACAGACAGTGGTCTTTTATTTTTGTTTTATTTTAAATGTTTCTTAAGTAAGGAACCAGGTAAGAAAAGGAACAGGCCAGAGAAGCCTCTGTGAAATAGAAAGAAAACTGCCATTTACTGAACATCTACTATGTGCCAAGAACTGTGAATGGGGCTTTCAAATGCTTTATTGCTATTAATCCTACTTGTGAAGTAGGTATGGATGAGAAAACATACAACACACCCTGAGCAGACCAGAGGACTGAACCCAAGGCTGACGTCCCTACTCCATGTAGTCGGTGCGGTTCTCCTTTATATACACCCCAGCCTCTTGGATTTCACTCAGCCCTTAGAAAGCCCAGGAATAGTAGGTGCAGCAGGAAGATGGGGGTGATGATGAGTTTCCACGGAAGGTGTAGATGTGTGTGTTTGCCTCACACATGCATAGGTAACAAGAGTTCAGGTTTCCAACTTCAGGTGCCTCTTGGGTTGGCATTTGGCTTCTGGACTAGAAAGAACTTTGTTAGAAAGGCAGAAAGAAGGCAAATTAAAAGTATGTTCATACCTAATGGGCAGATGAACTCCCATGAGCCATTGCAGGGCCACACAGGGCAAAGGCAGAAGGAACTTTCAAGCTATGGGCCACGTGGCTAGAGCCATACCAGGCATGTCCATCTGTAAGTGTTCCATCCATAAGTGTCAAAAAAAATGTACATATGATCTGTGTTATTCCCAAGTTGTCTATTTTTCATATCTCTTCAATGACTCATTTGCACACCTATTGTAATGACAGGATTTTGGAATGGCGGAGGAATTTGCTACTAAGGCCCTGGAGCTGAAACCGAAATCTTATGAAGCTTACTATGCAAGAGCAAGGGCAAAACGCAGCAGCAGGTGAGGAGAGAGAGAGAGGGTAAAAAGCAAGAGGTCTCTTTCCTGAAAACCTGGCCAAGGCAATGCAGGCCATCCTGGGGCATATGTGCCCAAATGTGTATATCCCTGAGGACTGTTAGGGCCAAGCTTTGGGGACGGCTCCCACAGCACAGTACTCAGCTTAAGGTTGACAAATCTTCGGGGCTATGGAAATCTAGGGCATTTTGCTTGGGGTGAAAAATGCCCTTTCATTGTTGGAGAATGGCACCTTCTTCCGAGAAGCCTCTGCCGTAGCGCAATCACTTTTAACCCCAAAGCCGATAGCATAAAAAGACACTGTGACTTAAGAAGAGGCCGCTTAAGCAAAACATCCTCCCGACGCTTTTAAAAGGAGAAGTAGGGTGGGTCCCTTACATCACAGGCTCCTCTTTCTTTTCCTGTAGGCATTTGGGGAACCCCTGGATTGTTTAGTCTTCCTTCTGGGGTTCTCCTCAAGTCTGGTGGCATCAGACCTCCTTCTCACCTAATTCCCCACCACCACACCACACACATATGGAGACAGGAGGTCCTTGCTGCCAGGATTGAGAGGGTTCAAAAGAAACTCCATCCCTCATGCCCATCTGCTGTGGTTTGGCCATTGGGCAGGAAAGGCTCCAGAAAGACCTAGAACCTGTCATCAGTGATCTTCGGATAACTTGTCACTGTCTTGGATGCCTCCTGCCCAGCGCCCCACCCTTCTCCCAAACTGCCTGGGAAAGAACTGCTTCAGGTTCACTGCTGTGGCCAGTGGGGGATATGGTCCTGGGAATCCAGCCCAGGTTAAGTCTAGTGATGACAGTGACAGCAATATTAGTCTTAGCAGAGTTCTTACAGAAGCTTGACTATCAGATTCTCTTTCCCACTGGATGATTCCCTCCCCCACAAGACCAGTTGCTCCTTTTCTGGGCAATATTAATAGAGAGGATGGGACAATCTCTGATGGGCTGTGTCCTCATTTGTAAATTATAATCTGAGTTGCCTCGTCAGCAAGCTTAATGCCTGCCCAGCGCTGATGGAGCAGAGCGGAGGAGCCACAGTCCTGTGGGGCGAGGGATAGAGAGGGCAGAAGACAGCGTTCTTGCCTAAGGCCTGAAATTTGGAGTCAAAATATCAAGAATATAAAGAAAAAAATTCTGGATCAGCAAGATTTTTAAATACTGTAGTTACTGTTTTGTTCCTAAGCTAATTGACAGTGACCCTGTAAATGACAACCCCACCCAACCCTCATACTGCCTGGTGTGCATTTGGGCACTAAGAAAATCTTCCTGAAGGGCCTGGCTGGACTAACAAAATGGGGACATTTCTCCACTAATCCCAGAGAGGCCAGAAGGAAGGTGGAGGCCGAACAGGTCAGGGAATCATTCTGGACTCTTCTAGAATGACAGCCTACCTGTTTCCTTCCTTACAAATCAAACAAAACCAACCCCCACCCCCCAACTCTCCCAGATGCTACCACAGTTCTCTGAAATAGTGACCATATTCTCAGCTCTGGGTGATTCCTGTTGATTCAGAATAACTCCAGTTCCTATGTTTACATTTTGTCAAGCAGACAGTTTGCAGCAGCCTTAGAGGACCTGAACGAGGCCATCAAGCTGTGCCCAAACAACCGTGAGATCCAGAGACTTCTGATGAGAGTGGAGGAAGAGTGTAGACAGATGCAGCAGCAGCAGCAGCAGCCCCAGCAGCAGCAGCAGCAGCCCCAGCAGCCGTTAGCAGAAGAAACAGAACCTGAAGCACAGCATGAAGATATATACTCTGTGCAGGACATCTTCGAGGAGGAATACCTGGAACAGGATGTAGACAATGTTTCCATTGGCCTCCAGACGGAGGCTCGGCCCAGTCAGGGTCTCCCGATCATCCAGAGCCCACCCTCCTCTCCAGCCCATCGGGACTCCGCCTACATCTCCAGCTCACCGCTTGGCTCTCATCAGGTTTTTGACTTCCGGTCCAGTAGTTCTGTAGGTTCTCCCACTAGACAGGGCTATCAGTCCACCTCTCCTGCTCTGTCTCCAACTCACCAGAACTCTCATTACAGGCCTAGTCCACCACATACTTCCCCAGCTCATCAGGGCGGATCTTACCGCTTTAGCCCCCCTCCCGTAGGAGGACAGGGCAAAGAATACCCAAGCCCGCCCCCTTCCCCTCTCCGTAGAGGCCCTCAGTATCGGGCCAGCCCTCCAGCTGAAAGCATGAGTGTCTATAGATCCCAGTCCGGCTCACCCGTGCGCTATCAGCAAGAAACAAATGTTAGTCAGCTTCCTGGCAGACCAAAATCCCCATTATCTAAAATGGCCCAGCGGCCCTACCAGATGCCTCAGCTTCCTGTGGCAGTTCCCCAGCAAGGTCTCAGGCTCCAGCCTGCTAAGGCCCAGATTGTGAGAAGCAACCAGCCCAGCTCTGCAGTTCATTCAAGCACTGTCATCTCCACAGGGGCCTATGGCCAAGTAGCCCATTCAATGGCTAGTAAATACCAGTCTTCACAAGGAGACATAGGAGTAAGTCAGAGCCGGTTGGTTTATCAGGGTTCAATTGGGGGGATTGTGGGGGATGGAAGACCTGTGCAGCATGTCCAGGCCAGTCTGAGTGCAGGCGCCATCTGTCAGCATGGAGGGTTGACCAAAGAAGACCTTCCACAGCGACCGTCCTCAGCATATCGAGGTGGCATGAGATACAGCCAGACACCACAGATTGGACGTAGCCAGTCTGCATCCTATTACCCAGTCTGTCACTCAAAACTAGATCTGGAGCGTTCCTCCAGCCAACTAGGTTCCCCTGATGTGTCACATCTAATCAGAAGACCTATTAGTGTCAACCCTAATGACATCAAACCCCACCCGCCAACTCCCAGGCCATTGCTGCACTCCCAAAGCGTAGGCCTTCGCTTCTCTCCATCTAGCAATAGTATCTCATCCGCCTCCAACTTAACTCCTACCTTCCGGCCATCCTCCTCGATTCAGCAAATGGAGATTCCACTGAAACCGGCGTATGATAGGTCATGTGACGAGCTGTCGCCAGTGTCTCCCACTCAGGGAGGTTATCCCAGCGAGCCCACCCGATCCAGGACCACACCATTCATGGGGATCATAGACAAAACAGCCCGGACTCAGCAGTACCCCCACCTTCACCAGCAGAATCGGACCTGGGCAGTGTCATCAGTGGATACCGTTCTCAGTCCCACATCCCCAGGCAACCTGCCTCAGCCTGAGTCCTTCAGCCCCCCATCATCCATCAGCAACATTGCCTTTTATAACAAAACCAACAATGCACAGAATGGCCATTTGCTGGAGGACGAGTATTACAGCCCCCATGGGATGCTGGCTAATGGGTCCCGCGGAGACCTCTTGGAGAGAGTCAGCCAGGCCTCCTCATATCCCGATGTGAAGGTGGCTCGGACCCTCCCTGTGGCTCAGGCATACCAGGACAACCTGTACAGGCAATTGTCCCGGGACTCTCGGCAAGGGCAGACATCCCCTATCAAACCAAAGAGACCATTTGTGGAGTCTAATGTTTAAAAGACGTTTGTTGGAGTGAGACCCGTATGTTTTCACTGCACATTTTCAGGCTTGGTTTCCACATTTGAGGTAGTTCTCTGGCTTAATTTCTCATGTAGTTTCTGTGTGGTGTTCGGAGGCGGCAGCCCACATGCTGAAATCCTTTGCATGCAGCCGACTGGGAAGCTGGCCTCCAGGGAGCCAGGACTTCAGTCTCTTGTCTGTGCCCCAGCCACATGCTCTCTCCCTCTCTTCAGATGCCAACGAGGAGATTGTTGTGCCGTGTGCTTTAACCCAGGGAGATCAGACACACTGGTCAGCTTTTTCCAGGAGACAATCGCTTTCACGGATGTTCTTGTCGTGTAAATGTCTTTCTCCTTTTTTACAAAAATTCAGATGTTCTTGTTCGTTTTCTTCTAGGAACTTTAGAGAGCGTGGTGCCCCTTTGCCTTCGCATCCTTGTCCGGTGTTATCCAGATAGCCCGCCCCCGTGCATTCTTGTGCCATGGTCTCCTCCCCGACTGCCAGCTCCCTGCAGTCACCAGGTCTTGAATGTCCATTTAGATTATTGCTGGTCTTCCTATGGGGGTAAAAGGATCAAAGAAAAAGAGAGGAAATGAGTCTGTTAAATTGGAAGGAAAAAAACCAATATACTTCCTTGAAATGTCACTTCATTGATCTTCCAAGAAGCATTTTAGGAATATTTAGAAAACAGCCCTTTAAATATTTCGGTCAGCCAAGGAAATTGGGTGGAAATTATGGATATTTTTTAATTCACTGAAAAGTATTCTTTAGAGTTTTAGCCAACTATTAACCATTAAAAACTATTGATTTTCCATGGGTGGGGAGGGAATAAATAAATACAGTAAAACCTTGGATTGCGAGTAATGGTTTGCGAGTGTTCTGCAAGACGAGCAAACATTTCTATACATTTTAACTTGGTAAACGAGAGATGTCTTGCAAGACAAGTAGTTTGTTTCCAGAATGAATTATACTCACAAACCAAGGTATTACTATATATAGGAAGAGAGAGAGAAAGAAAGACTGTTCTGGATTCTCAGTGAAAGGCTGTAGAAAACCTTTGATTGGAGAAATCTCCCTTTTAGATCACTGAGCATCATAGTCCACAAAAAGCAGACTCTTCCCGAAGGTTGGCTGGTGCAGTAATCCTGTTAGTTGGATCTTTGCCTAGAGCTGGATTTTGGTCCACTGGCCCTCTTTCTAAACCCCGATGGTATAATGAAAAAATCGGTTCTTTAAGAAGCAAACTGAATTCTCTTGGGACTGACTGATTCCCAGAGTTTGCACCCAGGGCCATTGCAATCTGCGCCAGATGTTGTCTAATTCCATTTCAACATCTATAGTTTCATTCTCTATTTCTTTTTTTAGGTAGGAGTGTTTGGTGTGTGATGTTTGAAAACCAGACACCACGAAGTGTCTCCTTTCAGGGTGAAGAAGGACCCTTTTCAGCCTGGGTGGGGGTACCTGAACTAGACAGCAAGTCTAATCCAGTCACCCTCCACACATCTGTGTCTTGTGGTCATTTGCTAAGTTGTCCTCTGAGTGACTGAGTGAGCATAAGACGATGGCCAGAACACTGCGACCAAAGCCTTACTACAGGCCTGGTACTGAGTGCTTATCAGCTCTTCAAGTTTCACTAACTAAACAGTTAAAACTAAACAAAAGAGAGTTCTCTGTTATTAGGAATCATTCTGCTCTAATTAGTAAAGGGCTACGGGAAGGGCAGTTTCCTGAATAAAAATCCAGATGTGACCAGATCTGTTTGTAACAGTAAGTGTCCTCTGCAAGCATCGCTAAGACATGGGGAGCATGAAGCTGAGATCAGACACATTTCTTTACTAATTTAGATTCTGCCAAATGGATGGACTCCTCTGCCCCCACACCTGCAATAGGCCAGGACTTGTCTCTGTGCTAGAAGCAAACAGCTGGGCTGACCCAAGCCCCAGACTTTCCACTCTCTCCGATGCTGACAGACTTCCTCCTACTCACCTAGAGCGAGTGGGCATCCGTGTCACTTCTCTCCGTCTGTCCCTTTCATCAGGAACATGAAACGTACAGCATTAGCACAGCCTACAGCTGGGAGCCCAGCAGCCTCTCAGCCCCTCTTTGTCCAGGTCTTAACCCTACTGGGCTTTTTGCATCTTACCCCTTTTTAACCACCTCCCACTGAGGAGCTGCTGCTACATTTTGAAAACTTTCTCAGTGTCTATTAGAAAAGTGCCCCTGCTTATTTGGAACACAACACGTACCACCTACACTCAACCTATCCAGGTGAGTGAACAGGTTCTGTAGTTTTACAAACATACCACGGATGCCACTTCTCCCCAGGGTCTCTCGGTTTTCCAGGATAAACAGGAGGTTTTAGGGTCTAAGCCTTATTGGGCAAAACACCTAAACTGTCAGCAGTCAAAATGCAGTTCTTTTTTAGCCACTAGAGGAGGGAGTGAATACCACTATTGGGGCCAGTTGTCTTTGACCATAAAATAGCCAACTGGACCTCACTGCGGGGAGACAAAGACCTTCCTTGTCAGCAGACTGCCTGTGCCCCGTTTGGCTACGTCACTGCCATGGGATGCTCTTCGTACTGTATCTTAGGGATGCCCCTTCCCCAGCAGCACTTGCTGAATCAATGTCTAGCTTCAGGTGGGGGGAAATTTTTCAAATGAGACTGGCAAGTTCCTTTCTCACAATTCATGTTACCCTGAAATGGAGACAGTGGTGACAAACGTCAGTTTATAGGTTTCTCACCAAATTGTATGTTCCGTTTGCCCAGAATTCTTGCACTAATGGGTTTCCATCACATCGTGTCTATAAATGGGTGCACTTTACTGTTTGAATTTGTAACTCTAATACTGGATATTTAAGTGTGCGTAATGTCTTCATTAGAAAAATAGCCAAACCGCTCTTGTCATTTAGTGTATTTTTCAAGAAAAAGGAAAAAAGAAAGAAGTCAAGCAGTGGATCACAACATTTATAGCACAAGAAATAATTTGTATATAAGCATCAAAAAGATTAAGAGTTTTTAAATACAAAAAAAAAATGTTTGCAGTGATTTTAAAGTGCTTTTCCAGCAATGTTCTTAGGGACTCCTGAGACATGGTTATTTTATTTACTGGATCAGTAAGGCACACAATTAACAATTAAAAATTATGTTTATTTACAAAGTAAAGGGAAAACCTGTGTAACGTGAAAATTTGGCATGGACAAAATGGAGACCATTTTGTATCTGCTGTTGTATCTTGCCCAGGTTGCAGATGTGCACTATTAAAGTCCCAAGTTAATAGAGCACAAACCCTTGTTCTTCTCCCACGTGCCCTCTTTTTAGATGTGTTTAACTTAAACTCGAAGGCTCAGGAAAATTCCACTAATTAGAATCATGTACAGTACCCCAGGTCGACATCTAGAGATACAAGTTTGCTAATTTAGTTAAGCCTGGATTACGAAACATTTTTCCTAAATTATTGTAAACAGAACAGCTTAGAGAAAGGTATTCTCAGTCCTTATATTGTATAGTAGTTTATGAACCCCTCTCTAAATATTGGTATTTTTGTATTCCAGAGATGTACCCAAATAGAAAAAAGTAATCGGTATCTAATTTAATATCCATTAAGTATTTTCCTTAGATTTTAGTCCTAGACGGTGGGTTCTGTGGACGTCACTTCGCTTCACCAACTTGACCACTGGGTGTCACTGTGGCTCTGCACCAGGCTTGTCTGGTAGCAAAGAGTGACAGCATCTCCTCTTGAGGAGCTTCTTCCAGGCAGCAGGCAGACCCGTTGGCTCCGAGGGTTTAGGAAGGAGAGAACAAAGGTCTGGACAGGGGTCTGCACGTATCTACGCCAGTTGTGGCAAGATAAGCTCTTTGAACACTACCTGCTTTGGACCTTCAGCCTTGCAGAGGCTGGGAGGAGGTTGACCAGAACGCTCTCACTCTGGTGGGTGGGAGGGCGGGGGCGCAGATGACCCCTTTCTTCCCCATCAGCACCCGTCTCAGTTCCTCTTGGCCTCCAACTTCTATAACTCCAGAGGTGTCACAGTTAGATGGTTTGATTCAAAGATAGTTATTTTTCTACTGCAGAAATGCCTTGGACAAAACCAGTTGCTCACTGAATCTTTGCAACAAAATGGAACGGGCTCCCCCAGGGGGCAGGACGTGCCCATCCCTGTCCCAGCCTCACCCTCCCTGCCTGTCTGTTCCTTGGGCTGCCCACTCCTCAAGAAGCTCTCTGGCAGGGGCATCTGGCTGCCGCCTCCACACCGGGGGCCGCACTGCCCTGTCGCATGTGCGTTAGGAGGTGCGGCTTTCCTCCTTGTCCTCCAGGAACCCCAGACTGACCATCTACCATGACCAACAACAATGCACAAAGGGCTTAGGGGTAAGAGCTACCTACAAAGACGTGTCATGGAAACCTTCACCGTGCAATGCCTTGAACTCAGCTCTGGCTGTTCCCAAGAAGAGGTGGCTGGCTGGGGGCCTGGACACAGCACAGTGGGGCTGGTGGAGCCATGTGCAGAGCTACTTCAATAACCACTGAGTCTTCATCAACAACTCCTCCTACAGACCACTCAAGGGCTGAAGTGTTGGTAACCTGCGTTTCGGTGTCCCATGCCTCACAGCAGCTGAACCACCTGACATGCTTGTGGCCACATGAGGGCCAGAGTCAGAGCTTTGAAAGTCAGTACCAAATGAACTTGTAATTGGACACCAAAAATCAAGTGTTACTTTCATGTCTCCTCACCCATATCGCCTCATTTCTTCCTGCTGAGTCTGTGATCACTCCACTAAGCTGACCTGCCAGGCTTTAGCTGGATGCATATAGATGCAGGCCAGCGTTGCTTTCATTTTTTTCAGACACACCTCTGTGGAAAGGCAGGAGCCCAGCTTTGTTTTTGCAGCACTTGCCGGCTGTATTTTTCTTTGGCCTAATCACTAACCAGAACACCTGGTTAGAGGAACTCAACCCTATCCCCTCGGTCCCCAGGACCAGACAGTTAATTCTGGGAAATTCAGTACTTGAATGTACCTGCCTTATTGTGTACCAACTTAACTGGAAAAAAAAAAAAAGAGAGAAATGCTGGCTCCGGATCTCTACTTCATTCCCGAGTTATTTTGGAAATCTGTAAGTTACACTTCCTGTGCTGGTTTGTTTTTTTGGTTTTTGTTGTTGTCATTTTTCTTTGGCTGATTCCTGCTGAGTGGGGCCGGTTCCTCGTCAGGCTCAGGGCAGGTGCCATTCTCAGGCCTGGCCTCCTTGCCATCTAACACAGCGTCTCTGTCTCTGTTCCGTCTCCTCCAAATCCAAGGTGATTTTAATTAGTACAGACATGTACAGTCTACAATTAAAGTGATTTGTACTAACATGATTTTGATTCTTCCTCCTCTTTGCTGTCCTTTCAAGACACTTGCTGGAAAAAGCTTTAATGCACTTAGTTTTCCTTTAGGTTTTCTATAACTCAGATGTAAAGGACTTTCTCTGTACAGTATATTATCCAATGCATGTTTGTTCCCTCTCTGATATATTGAACACCACACAGTTGTGAACTCGTGCCGTGGGGATGTCCCACACCCAACAGAGGCATCTAGCCCCCTGTGTATAAGGGAAGATTTTCCTTTGCTGTACTTGCTTGAGCAGTTTTATTGTCTGTACATGTGAGCTGTGTGAGATAGATGTGAAAAGTTAAATGAATGCATTTTCCTGCCCATGTATACAGATCGCCATCTGTACAGTGAACTGTATGTATGAAAGCAAATGTACTTATTTATAAATGGGTAACACTTGGAAAAACATGGCGTTGTGGTGCTTTCTCCTTCCGTGACAATTCCTCTCCAGGGAGCTGACCCTCAAGCTCACCCTCTCTGAGGCCCACAGTGCCACGGACGCTCCTGCGAGGACGACTTGGGCATGTCAAGGTGAAGGCCAAATTCCTGATGATTTGTTTGTGTCTTGTGGGACATTCAGAATCACCCCTTCAGGCTCTTACTCACTCACTGACATGACTGAGCACCTTCCCGGAGATGGACATTGATAGGCACTCAAGGACTGTGGACAAGGGAAGAGGCCAAAGGTCTGTCCACAAAGCCCACTGCACCTGTTGGGAAAGGGAGGCTTTTTCTTCAGTGGAAGAGTTTTTTTCCACCATACCAAGGGAGCACTGAGCTCTTCTGGTTTCACTTCAATAGCTGAGGCTGCACCCCAATCCAGCTCCCTACCAAAAGGCAAGGCTAAAGCAGACTGCCAGTTAGAGCCGTAAGTTTAGAGACCGCGTGTGGGGGCGGGAGCGGGGGCAGCCCTAGCTGTAGTTCCCAGGGCAAATTTCGTCAAGGCTGGAAACCCACTGCTTCCTCCAGTGTTCATATTTTCTTCAAAAATCTAGCCAGAAATTCCAATCCTCACTATAAAGAGCTAGACAGCTGTGTCGTCAATGGAGATTTCCTGAAACTGGCCGGAGACTCAGAACCTGTTTTCAAAAGCAGCCGGCACTGAGGCCTGCCTTGCTGCCCAGCTGCACCTCTGTCCACGTCAGGGACAAGCCAGGAAGGAGACCACTTCCTCTAGACATCAGATTGTCCTGAACAAACGTGCCTGCTGTGTAACTGCAGCCATTTCCCCCCAAACAACCAATGCTGGGGAAGCAGGAAGACTCCAGGCGTGCAGTCGTCCCAGCCTGGATGCCAGACTTGCCTTCAAAGGCAAGAAGACGACTGGGGAAGGAATCACCTGCTTGGTCTGAAAACCATTCCTGAGCGGCTCCAGCTGTTTCATTAAAAAACAAAACTGGGTAAGTGGCTGGGGGGATAAAAAAAACTTTTTAAGAATTCCTGGGACATTGGAAGAAAGGTGAAGGCAGTGATTCCTAAAAAGCTCATTCTTAAAAGGCATTTGCCTGAACCTGACTAAAAAAAACACTCAGAGCAGCAGCAAACAGCTAACTCAGCATGTTCTTTGTGGGTTCTCACAAGTCCCGAATCAGACTGGTGTCTTATTTTCATTCTCCAGCAGGCACCCTTCAGCAGCTCCTTGGAGCGCCACGCACCGCTGTGCACACGTGCATGTGGTAAGCCACGCTCCCTTCCATAGTCTGGGGTAGGTGTGCAGACTGAGGGGAGGAACATGGTGTCATCCTTTCAGCTTTAAAAATGGAAGCTGGAAGAGCTGGGAGAAACTTAGGAACTGAGTCCTCCTTTCCCGGGAACAAGAATAGGACATTCATAATAAGGGTATTGTGTCTGGAAGGCCCTGTGATAAAGAGGAAGGTCCCTCAGAAGAGACAGTGCTCAGAGCCTATTGTGATGGGCCATTCTCTTGAGATGCCCATTGTGTCCTAGACACTGTGACAGGGACTTTACACATGTTCTCTAATTTATTCCTCACATAACCTCTGACACGCGACATTGCTCTCCAAAACGCAAATGAGGAAGCAGATCCTGAGAGCTTACATGGCTCAACACAGGCAAAGGTGGGACTGAGTCAGATCTGCCTGGGAAGTTTTCCCCCTCTAGGGGTCGTCTTAAGAAAAGCAAGCACCTGCGTGACACCAGATGGAGCACAGGCAGTGAGTCAAAACGGAAGCTTGGGGAAAGCTACTTTGTGCTCCTTTGGAGAAGCAACTCTGCCAAGGTCAAGAGGAATAACTTGGACCTCTAGGTGTTCCAAACCCAGTAAAAAGGTGAGGTCCCTCCCAAGGGGGAGAAGGAGTAGCCCTCTGGAGGGCGAGGCATCATCCTCTGGGATCATTCAAATGTTCACAAACACACAGAGACCCTTAAGATTCAGAGGCTCGCACAAAAGCCAGAAGTGGGATGGCACACTCATAGGGTCACGATGCCTCTGCCCTCACCCCAAGAGCCAGCCCTGACCTTGACTCAGATCAGCTTTGGGACATGTGTCGAGCCACATGTTTTGCATGCTTTTGAGCAAATGAAGGTCCACATGGAAGCCTTGATTCAGGAGAAAGACGCCACAGATGCATAAAGCAAAGACCACTCAAGGTCTGGCTCATATGTTAGAGACCAGGTACCATACTCAAACATTAGGAGGAAAGAATTTGTGTCACTGAAGGTGATGTACCTTACCAGAGGATTTGCTGTCCACCCGTTTAAAGAAGGAGCCCCCTGGCTAAGCTTTGAAGATGTTTTAAATGAGTGCTTTTCAGGAGCACACAGTGCATCCTGGTGAAATCTCACCCAACCTTACTGTAAACACACCTGCTGGACCCTAGGAATTATCTAAAGTGGGACGTCAGCTTGTTTTCAAAGCTTTGCTCCTCTTCTTAAGGAATAAAGAACACTTTAAAAAGAAAAAATTGAATAGTGGGCAAAACTTCTTGCCAAGGCCCTTATCAGGCCCTTACAGTTCCATCCCCCAGGCCGCTTTCTGGGGCGAGAAAAGGGTTTCTCCAGCCACGTGGAAGAGCCTCTCCTCTGCTCCAGAGAAGGGACAGTTACAGCCATTTCAGGGCCTGTGCCATATAAATATCATTAGGCACTTGACCGTCTGTGCCCAGCCTGGGGCTATTCCATTTCTCTCAGTCCTAGTAGAACTAACTTCATGTCCTTGACTCTGCTAAAAGCACTGGATCCTTTCATTGTCACAGTAAAGGACAATAACAGCAGAGAGATCTGCTGTAGACATTTATTAAATCATCTCTTGCACCAACACTACATTGTACTTCACAGAAGACTGGTCATAGGCAAAGAAAAATAAACCACCGGATCAGCTTTCGGGGGGGGGGGGGCTGTTGGCTCCCTAGTCATCCAATACACACTTTGGCAAACAGACCAGTTTATAGACTTAACACTGCAAATCTGAGGTTCTGCTTCTCTGTGTGGCGTTCTGACAAGGGAGATACACAATTGTACTTTGGTAGTTTGTCTAAGGTGGAGTTTTTCCCACATGTAAACATTTGACTACACGAGGGTTTGCCAGGTGATGAAAAGAATTGGTGGCACCTCTGCCCCTGCACATTCTAAACAGGCCAACACCCCCTCACCCAGGCTGTAGTGAAGACAGGAGAGGCCCCGCAGGAGCCCAGGCAGCCCTGCGGGGGAGGGCGCTGGACGACAGCCACCTGCTCTGAGAAGCAGCATCGCTGGAGGCAGGACCCACTGCAAAAGCTGAGCATTAGAAATCTGAGCAATAGAGGAAGACTAGGCCCTTTCTCTCAGGCAGCATTTAGGTGTGAAAGATGCAACCATTGAAAGAACGATAGTCAGATTTGAAAATTTTATTAATTTCTTCATTTAAGTAAACTCTTGTCTCAAATGTGTCATGCTCCTCAAAGGCCAGAAAACGAGGAAAACAAGGAGAGAGCATTTGCCAAGTCCAAGAAGTACACGATCAATGCTCTAATCACGTTATTTCTAAACTGAAGCCAAACAGTGACTCAGCGAACAGCATAACACACATATGGGGTTGGGGGGATTAATCTGATTATTCCAACTCAGCCCCAACTTCCTGCAAGGATGGATCCCGTAAGCTAAGGGCGGGTGAAGCCCTCCCCTGGAACAGAAGCAGACAGCCACCGACCATATAAAAAGGGGCCAAGAGCAGCAGCTTTTTGTTTTAAAAAAACATTTGTGTCCTCACCTCTGGTCAGAGCAATGCCTGCGCTGGTTTGTGAGGGTGGGGACACAGAAGCTCGCAGGCTGAGCTGCAAAGTAACCCGCCGCCCACAACAGCCTGCGCAGGGGGCTGTCTCCCTCCTCCTTGGCTGCCCTCAGCTGCCAAGGGCAGGTTCATCTGAAGTCCTGTGCCCCATCCCCTCTCCCAGCAAAGCCGTCCTGGGGCCAAAGAGTTAAAGGGAAGGCTTCACAGCGCAGCTGGGCCAAAGCCACATCTCCAGAGCCTCCCAGGGGCCAGTCCCTCCCCTCTCCTAGGGAACCTCACTCTGAACACCAACATAGCTTACACATAATATCACTTGCTCCACTGCCAAAGTCTGGGCCCATTCAGACCACGTGTTACTCAGGCTAGCGAGACTCCGTTTGAATTCAGTTACACAAAGCAAGTCTTGGCTTTGCCAGGCCTGTCGCTGAGGCCCCAGGGTTTCTCCCACTGCTTTGTGCTCTCTGCTGTCCCTGGACTGGGTCCAGCGTCTGCTGGCTCAAAGGGGCTGGGGGTGGGGGCCTCTCCATGTCCTTTAGGGATCTGAGCTTCTGTGACCAGTACTGACCACCCAAAAGCCTACCCAAAGCTTCTCCATTTGAGGGGATGGCGGGGACAATGGGGGCAGGGGTCTGTGCATGAGAGGACACTAAAGCAGCAGCAAGGAGAGGAAAGCAGAGGCAGCCAAGCCCTAAGCCCCAGGAATCATTGCTCAAAGAGGCACACTGCACCCACGCTCCGTACCCACTCGGCCCAGATGTCTGGGCAGCCAGGAATCCTGAAGGCAGCCTCAGTGGCTATGGAAAAGACACCTGTCACAACCCCGGGACCTGAGGATGCCCGCCAGACCCAGGCCCCTCCCCGTAGAACAAGGGCAGCCAGTCACTGGGAGCAGGGGCTGTCGCCCTCCGTCAGCGTCTTGAAGTCCATTGAGAGAGCTTGTTCCTCTGCCTGGGGAGGCCGCTTCAAGTCGGCGCGAGTCAAGATGTAGAGCACAACCACGCCAAAGCTGAGCAGCAGCAGGCCCAGCACGTTGGCCAGGACACCCTCGGGCTCAAATGTGCTATACTTGGTCCTGCAGGGTCAAGGTGGAAGGGAGGAGGCACCCCGGGGTCACCATCGGCCAAATGCCACTTGCATCTGGGCCAAAAAGATGCCGCGATCCAACCCCAGTCCCTCCATCCCCCTGGGTGGCTAACTCCACAGGGAGCTGGTTCAGAAGGCAGAGGTCCAGGGAAACAGGTCCCCACCGTGGCACAGGACACTCACCCAAGTTTAAACAGCAGCGCCTCCTTCAGGCCCAGCAGGGCTGTGCCCACAGAGAGGAGGAAGATGGTGGCACCAAAGAAAATGTGCTGTGGGCGGTAGCGGCTCCGCAGAGAAAACGAAGCTCCAGGGAACAGGAAGAAAGTGAAGCCCACGAGCCACTAGGAAGAAGGGAAGGCGAGGCGGTGCCAGGGGCTGAGCTGGCCATCGTGTGACCAACCCAGGAACACCCAGGCAGGCTGTGAACCCGCCACCCGCCCACGGTTTCCTCCATCCAGGAGCCTTGGTCGGGGGGGGGGGGAGCACGGAGCACTATGGGAAAGGCCCTGGCCCCGGCGCTCCACGCCTGGTCCCGCTCATCATACTTGTACACGTGGAAGGCCAGGCCTGTGGCCAAACGTATGTGTGCGTCAGATGAAGGACACTGGGACCCGAGGCCCCCTCGCCTGTGAAATCCTGGCTTTGCACCCATCTCAGAATCTGAAAGCAGCATCCGGCTGCACTAAAGCACCCCTTTCCCCTGTGGGCACGGCCTGGAGAATGGGCCCTTCTGTGGCACGTCGCCGTGGGGCTGAAGGGACTCACCTGCACAAAGTAGAGCGCAAAGACAAGGATGCCACACCAGCTGTGCAGGCTGTACAGGTCAGCGTAGCCCTTCTTCCTGTGGTAGTCGAACACCGCCACCAGCCCTGGACCAGAGAGGAGGGGTCACGTGAGGACAGGCTGACGGGGGACGGGAGGGGGCGCGGTGACCCAAGGGAAACCTGACTAGCCAGGACTTCTGGGCTCTTGTCCCAGCACCCAGTGTCCCTGCCTGGAATGCCTAGAAGGAGGCAGCAGGATGGGGAGGGGAAGGCTGTTCCCAGGAACTCACCCACCAGGGCGATGATGAACGCAAAGACATGCAGCAGCCCGTGCAGGACTTTGACTGTGCGTTTGGCCTCGTTTCTGAAGACACGGTAAACCAGCAGGGCTGTGGGAACGAGAGAGGGAAAGTCCGTGCACTCCCCTGAGCGCCAGGCCTTCCTGCCACGGGCAGCAAGGAGACATACCTTGGCTGAGAGCTGATCTGAGCTAAGGGCTTGTCCGGGGTCCCCAGCCCCAGGAAGTGGAAGAGGAAACAAGGCTCCACGGGGCCCAGCAGGCCCTCAGGCCATGGGTGCCCTGGCACTGCCCTACCCACCCACCACCTTCTTGTCAGGTGTCCTGTGTATTCCCGGCTGTGTTTTAGGCTCATCACGCAGTCACACTGAGGTGTGCCCCAGCTTCCGAGGTCATCTTTTAGCTATGATGGTCCTCCAATAGTCCAATATTGAAGCCTGATCAGAAATTCACTGTTTTTAGCAAGCAGAAGGGGGCCAGCACCGCCTTGCTCCTACCCCAGAGACACTCACTCGCCCCGCCCCCACTGCCGGGTACACACTGCCCCTGCAGAAGACAGCCTCAGCGCCCAGCCCAGCCCCTGGGCCTCCCCTCCACGAAGCACGCCCACCCTTGGGTGCTCCTTGTGGAAGCAAGAGATAGAAGAGCTGGGACGAGCTGGAAAGGAGCTGCCACCCACCAACCGCAGGGCTCCTGTTGGGACTCCCAGTGTCCCCAGGCTCTAAGCTACTTCCTTCTCTGACTCTTTTCTAGAATCTTACATTTGTCTAACAGCAAGAGACCTCAGGGGTGATGGGTCCTGCAAACCGCCTCTCTCAGGAGGAGCAACTCGGAAGCCTGGGAGGGACTCACCGTCTCCCTGCAGGAAGATCAGGCCTATGACCATGCAGAGGGGGTGCACATTAAACTGCAAGGCGCTCTCCCAGGCAATGCCTCCTCGGTAGAGACCGAGCCAAGCGCCAGTCACGGCCACGACCGTCAGGCCCAGCAGTTGGGAGAAAGCCACGTAGTAGGGCAGCGCTCCGGGGCTGGGTGCTGTGCTGGCATGGCTCTCCATGCTGAGGTGGCAGCTGCAGGAAAAACAGCAGAGCTCAGGGGGGCAGCCCACAACCTCCAAATGATACATCCCAGGCCCCTCAAAGCCAACCCCTGCCACCGCCTCTCTGCCCCACTCCCCCAGGCTCTGTGCTGTTGCGGTGCTCACAATATGTCACTGTTCCCATTCTACAGACAGGAAAATGGTGGCTCAAAGTGGTTTGGGAAAGCCTTGCTCTGCAGCTCCACGTGGGAGCGGGTTTCCGGGCTCCTCTGCCCAGTCTCCCCGGTGTTTTTACAGCCTCGCCCAGGGTCAGGATGGCCTTTGCGCCAGCTCTTCAGGTTGAATCTGTTGGGTCTCCTGACCCCGAGCCCAGCCTGGCCCGCAAGCCCCGGGCGATGGGAGGAGAGAGGCAGGCGATGAATAAGCATGGCCTCCATCTGCTTTGCCAAGGTGCTGGCCGAGGGCAGAGCGCCCAGCTCCACGCCACAGATGGCTGCCCGCTGGCCTCTTGCCCACTGCCCCGGCCTTTCCCAGAAGCGGTGGAAACATCCTGCTTCTCCTTCATTATCAGCCGAGAACGACAGCTGAGCAGAGATGTTTGACTAATAAAGTTTTGGGCCGCCCTTCTATTTCCGAGCACAAGCTCTCTACCCTTACTGCTCAAGAACTAGTTTCCAGTCGTCCTGGCCCTGTCCCCCGGTGACCGGGCTGTCTTTACCCCAATTCTCTCTGCTACATCTGACAACTGTTGCCAACTCCACCATTAGGGAGGAGGGATAGTAATACACACCCTGTTGTAAAATACAGATACACAGCAACAAAACATTACAAGTAAATCAGCATTCTGATTGTATATCCTTACACCTTTTTCCTTCTAGACATATATACATACTTTTATGGAAACAGGATCATATTAATTTCTAACCTGCTAGGTTCCTTTTTAGGTTTCTGATACATTCTGTCAAATCAGAAACATTCCCACGGCAGGTGGGAGCACCTGTTTCCAGAAGCCCTGGCAGACAATGAACCCCTATGTCTGGAACTTCTGCCTCTGTCCTTATCTGTCACCTCCATACCAGTGATTCTGAAATCTGTCCTCTCCCCCAGATTCAAATCCCACTTATCACTGTCTGCCAACATCTCTACCTGGACATCCTCAAACACTTCAAACTCAGCACAGCCAAAGTCACACTCCTCTCCCGACCTCCCAGGTAGCTAGTGCGGTTGTCCTTCTCCTAGTCCCAGCGCTGACACCTGCACAGACAGTCCACCGAATCCCAGGGGTTCTCCCCAAGGCCGCTCACCATCACTTCCCTCCTGGCCATCTTCACTGTCACCACCCAAGCCAGGGCACAGAGCTCCTGTTCCCATCTCTCTACCCTCTTCAATCTGCCTGACCCGCCAGTGACAGGGGCTAAGTCATATGGCCCCACCCCACACCAACAGCCGCCCACTCCCTGCCAGTGAAAAGCCAACTCCATAACATGACCCTAACTCAGTTTCTATCGGGAGCCCCAAGTTCACTCAGGGGAGACTGTCCCTGTTCCCTAGATCTAACAACACAACCTGTCGTCATTATTCCCGCCACCTCACTCCCCTGCACCAATCTCCCTGCAATCGCCACGTCCTCCACTTCCCCAGCCCACCCTCCGCCATGACCTGAAATAAGCATTGTGTTCATCACTTTGTCCCCCTCCTCTGCGTCCCCTAAGCTGGCCTGGAGCTTACTTACCCTCCTCGGTGTCGCCTTTTGTGAGCTCGTGGGGGGCCTCTTTGCTAAAGTGCCCTGTGAGCTTCCTGAAGGCAGGGAGTGCGGCTCACTCTCCTCGCGGGTCCTGGGGGATCTAATCCCTTGCCCGGACTCTAACAGGGAAAATGCACTGAAGAGAAATGCTGTCCTCCTCGCCTTATTAGATTCACCCCCAGAGAGCCCAGGGCCGTCACAATCTGATTAGCTCTGAATTAGGAAGAAGAGAAGGAACACGCTGCCACTGTAGAACCTGCCACAGCTTCTCTCTGCCAGTGGAGTGACAAGCAAGGACAGAAGTGGGAGCTCAGGGCAACAAAGGACTGTAGCCCCTGAACCTCGGAAGGAGCCAGCCACTCGGTGGTGAGGCAAACCAGAGCCAGCCCATCTCCCAGTGACACAGGCAGAAATTGGAGTGAGGGTCTCTGCAAATCTGTGATAAGAAGTATTGGCAGGGGGACAAAGAGGGTAAAGGAGGTCAAATATATGGTGATCTCCAGATACATAGGGTCAGAGCCGAGTTGAATTGTACGACACCCAGTCAGTGAGGATGGGAGAAGTGCTTGGCGGTGTTAAAAAGAAAACACACATTGGAATAGTGCGATGACTGTGTGGCTATAATGCTCTACACTGCAAATTCACATCCTGGGTTCACTGGGAAGTCAGAACCCTAAAACTGTTTACTCCCCATGATGGTAGAGTGGAGATGCGTGCTTATGTTTGCTGGGAGGACAGGGGACCTCGTGGCTAGGGAACCCCTACTCTGTACTCAGCACCTCCCACATTGTCCCATTTAATCTTCTCAATAACACTATGATAAAGAGGAGTATCATCCCAATTTGATGGATGAAAATGGGCTCAACGAGGATGAATGACATGCCCCAAATTATCAGCAGCATATAGTTGCTCAGCTCACTTGTTTCTTGAGTACTTAGTATATGCCAGACACACTGCTAGATGCTGGAACGATACATACAGCTCAGGCATGGCCCCTGCCTTCCAGGGGCTCGCCGATAAGTTGCAAAGCAGATACAAACTTTAAAGTAAAAGGTAATAAGAATTCAAGCCACGAGCTAAACTCAGGCCTCCAAGAGCAGTTTCCACTGTGCACACTGAGAAGTTTCCCTCACTTTAATGCACGTAAGGGGCACGCCGTTCCAGATTGCCCACAGACTGGCTGGCTGTTGGTGTTGGGACTTGGCACTTTCTACCGCCCAGAAACTAGGGTTGAGTCCGGATCTTGAACCAGAATGGTGCTTGCCGGGGAAGGAACTTTGAAGCAGGGCTCCCAGGCAATCTCTCCCCCTCCCATGCCAGTCCTCCAGTGTCCTCCTCACCCCTGGGGGAACCAGGCTCCTAAGGCAGTTTAAACCCACATCACGTGAGCACTGGTGTCCCCTGTGGGCTCTCCTGGGAGAAAAGGCAGCAGGATGGGAACAGATGGTGAAGAGAGAAGCGATGACAGGACCGCGAGTTAGTTGCAAGATCTTCATGTCAAGGCTCCAATGGCAGCTCTCTTATCCATATGGGCCCCAGGTAAATAGGCATCCCGGAGGACGCCAGAGATAAAGAATGACCTTTGGAATTACGGAGGCCCAAGCTGTATCCTCCACAAGCCCTCCCAATGTGAGGGTGATTCTAGATCCAAGTATGAGGGGTGATAGGAAAACTCACACCAACAAAGACCAGCTAAGCATGAAAAAATCCAGATTTACAAAAAAGACAAATAGTCAGTGTTTCTGTGCTGTATACACAATGAACTGAAAGATCCCTTCAGCAGTGGCATTTCCCCATTGCTTATTCGGTTCAACAACATTGACAACCAATCTTTGTGCAAGGAGGAGCTGCTTGCAGAGCTGGAGGAGTCAGAGAAGACCCTGCAATGACGCTGGGTGGAATCTGACCTACCCACGGCACATCTGCACTGGAAACCTCGAAATCATTTGAGATTCGCTCCCTAGTAAATAAATGCTCCTTCATTTCCCAATCTGGACAGCGAGAACACTCTCTCACCCTTCCTTCCTAACTGGGTTGCTGCCTAGCCCCCCTCCCCGCCCCCTCTTTCACCCCCCTACTCCTCCCACCAGAACCCTGGCTGCTCTAGGGCCTCCTGGGTTCCCAGAGAGGAAGTGTGGGCAGCAGCTTCAAGGACCTGGAAGCAGCCACGCTCCACTCCAAAGGTTTCCTTTACCCAGGAGACCAGAGTCTTGGAACCAGAGGGAACTCATATGGCCCCTTTCAGGGCCACCCACCTTCCTCTGTCAGAGCACAGGATGGGGGTGACAGAGCTCTGGCAGCTTCTGGAACAGTCACTTCTCCCCTCCCACACACACCTGAGTCAGATTCCATGTAATGCAATCAAACAGCGACAGGAGCTACCCTCGGGCTCCAACGTGCTGAGTAGCACTCTCTCCCCATGCCCACCATGTTTTATCCAAAGGTCACCAGGCCTAATCTCATTATGGGGACCAGACACTGCACATGTCCTACAGCCTGGAAGCAGGGAGCCTGGCCACTGCCCTCCTTATCAACAGCAGGGTTTAAATTAAGTTAGAAAAGATTGTGTTGGGGCCAGGACTAGATATTTTCTTGATGGCTGAGGGGGGAAAACGGTTCAATTGTCCTAGAATGTCCTAGAATATGATGAAAGAGATGGCAAAATGAGTGCTGCACTGCTAGGCAGGGCACTTTCTTACCACCCCACACCCAAGTAGCCCCCAGAAAGAAAGCAGAGCTTGAGGTCAGACACTGAGCCCAGTTTTCCATCAGGTACAGGGGGCTCAGGGCCAGGGCACCCATTACTTGTAGGGACCCCTCAAAAATGTTTTGATTTCTGTTAAAATCAGGAGAAAAAAAACCAAAAACGTTTAGGGTTGAATAAAATGTTTTAATTTTTAATCCAGCCTGAATTATATTTGTCTTTAGACCATCACAGTTATAAAAAAAAAATTTTTAATGGAGGAAGAGGCCCACAAAGGCAAAAGTGTCTAGGGCACATCAAAGTCACAATGCAGGCGCCGGCCGAGTGGCTCAGTTGGTTAAGAGCTTGCTCAAGAGTGCAAGCTCTGAGCAACAGGGTCGCCGGTTCGATTCCCACATGGGCCCTAGCTTAGCTGCCAACAAGTGGCAGGATGGCCCAGCTTAAAAAAAGAAAAAAAGTCACAATGCAGCCCCGGTCAGGGGGATGTGATTTCAAAGCCAGCCCCACTGGTTAAGACTGTGCGCTCCTAGGCAAGCCAAGTCTCCTCTCTGAGCCTTCTTCCTCATCCATAAGGTATGCGGATATTGAGATCCACTTTACTGGCCTAAAACAAAGATGAAGTGAAATAAATATGTGCCAGTGCCTAGCACAGTGCCTGCCCCATAGTAGGCATTCGATCAATAGTAATAATCTAACGAAAACTAAACCTGGTCTTAATAGGGCCTTAGGAAGAATCACCCATCAGAAGCTGTTGATACATGAGGTTTCGGTGCTACAGAGAGCCAGATGGCAATGGACAGCAAGACCCCCTACAATAAATTCACACTCTCTTCTGTCTGCCATTTACTGGGCAGATCCCTCTGGATCTGGGATGGATTCCTCAACCAATTACTTCTACTGCTGCAGAACCACTCATTTTAGCAGAAGCCCAAGCTCTGCCTGGGAAGGGAAAGTGGCATAGCAGGGAAGCAATGGGACAAGCAGGGTGATTCCACCTCCTGGTCCAGGAGGCTCCGCCTACATGAGGGCGGGGTTGTAGCAGCCCTTTCTCTCTATGGGGCTCACTTTGACGTTTACAAGTTATTTGTATTTTCTGCGTCAATCCAGTGTCACAAGAGAAATCAAGATATCTATGATAAGGAGGCGGGGGGGGGGGAATTTTTTTTTCCATTCTCTCTGAAAAGGAAGGAACAGAACCCAGGCGTCCTAAGATGGAGCTGTATTTAATGAGTCAGAAAATTCTCCAAGACCACCTAAGTAGAATGAATGAGAGCAGAAGGGAGAAGGACTTGGGAGGGGTGTCAGCCTCTGAAGACCTGTCAGGACTCCAGGGTCCACATGGGTCTCTGTGGTGCCCTGGGAGAAAGGACTGGGAGTGAAGGGAGGTGGCCCTGCCATCATGCAGGTGGTCAAAGGCAGCAGCAGATCCCTTAGCTGGGTTCTGCAGCCCCAGTTCATGGCCCACCAAGGCCAACCCAACAAGTCAGGGTTTTCCAAATGAGAAACTCCTATTCTCACTCTCACACAAGAAGCTGAGGATGTCAGAGGAGAGCAAGAAAGGGTGCTAATAGCTAGACATGTCCACCCAAGACCCTGCTACGGGAAAAAGAGGCGAGGCGGAGGGAGGCAAAGCAGTTGGCAGTCTTGGTTTCGGGTTTCAAAAAACCAGTCGTGGCAAACGTTGGTTGATGCATTTCTCCCTATCTTCTACCCTACTTCTACCCTTGCTGCAGAACATGGCCACATATTAGCCGTAGGCCCATAAACAGGCTCGCCTGCTCCCTCCATTCTAACTTCAGAAGAGACTCAACACAGGAGGTAGACGCGGGGCCCAAGGTTGACCGCTCAGGAAGGAGGACAAGCTCCTTAACCTCGGGCCTTGCACCGTGGCCCCCGGGCCGGGGAAAACAGGTGAGGTGAGAGTCAGGTATGGTGGCAGGTGAAAGAGGAAGAAAGGCTCTTACGGCTGCGGCTGCCGGAGCCTGGCCTGTTCTGGCGCGGGCGCAGTCCCGCCCCCGTCCGGGCACACCTGGGCAGGCCGGCCCCAACCCCCAGCACACACACCGGGGCCCACCCCGCCCCGCACACTTGAGCCCCCTCCCCGACCCTGCACCCGGGGGGACCCCGCTCCCCTCACCGGCCCGGGCCGCCTACCTGGCCAGCCGCCCGGCCCCGAGCTTGTCCCCGCCGCGCCGCCCACCGGCCCGAGGGCTCCCCGCGCCGCGCCCCGGCTGCTCGGCCGGTTCTGCGAGCCGCGCCGCCCTCGGTGCCCCAGCGTCGCCATGGCGACCCGGCGGCTGCGGCGGCGGGTTGGTAGCGCGGCAGGCGACGCGGCGAGGGTCACGCGGGGGTGGGCGGGGGGTAGGAAGTGCCCCGGCGCGACCCTACACTCGGGGTAGGGCCGGCCCCCCAGTGGTCCCACAGTCTCCGGGCAGGACCCGCCAGATTCGGGCCCAAACAGACGCCGACGTGGCAGGGGCTGCGGCGCAGGGCGCTGAGGGGCGAGAAGGCGGCCACCGTTACCCGGCCTCCTGGACCCGAGCTCGGGGAACTTCCCAAATCCAGGCCTCGCGACCTGGTTTTCGGGGGGGGGCCCCACGTTCGGGGCTGCATGGGGACCTGCCAGCCCTGGCCTGACTCGGAGGCCGAGGGCCAAACTGTGGGGGATGGGCGGGGGCGGAGATGGGGCCCGAGCGCAGAGGGGCCAGCGTGCCGGCCTGGAGGCCAGCCTGCCTCGGCTTCGTCTGCGCTTCCCGGTTTCCTCCCTTTCTTCCCTCCCACCTTCTGACCTCCTCTCGCCCCGGGCTCAGGTGGCCACTAGGTGTCAGACACAGCCTAGGCCCACGCAGCACCCCCTGCAGCCCTGGGGACACGCCCCTTCCCTCCCAGCCGCTAGGGTGGCGATGTGTCCCCCAGAAAGCCGGACAACCCCCTTCCCCAGTTCCACCCTGCCCCGCGCCCCTATTCCC